ATCCCACCTGATTTTGCCACTGAACCTACACCTATTCATATACACCCTTCTAGTAATTTAATTATCATTTCATTTTTAAGAAAGTAAAAAGATACAGACAGTACTGAGAATAATATTACAGTAAACATAAACCCATAAAATCAGAGAGCTGTATTCCTGTGGTTAAGAATTTATAGGTGCAGTTAGGAATTTTATTGTGTTTGAAAATTACGTGGTTCACTTGATAAGTTTTACTGAGGTGTGAACACCATTACTAGGTAGTGTGAAAGCTCTGGCTATGGGGTCCCTGATGTGGGCAGTGTTTGTGAGCAGAGTGGATGCCAGTCAGTTTTGGGGGAGCCCACAATCTGAGGTGGCCATCCAAGACTGAAGGGGGCAGCAGCACCATCGGTATGGGGCTTGGGCCCGAGTATGGCTTTCAGTTACTACCAAGCTTCGAATGAGATGCAGATTTTTTTCTCAGAAAATTATTTCCAGTAGTTTTTCAGAGTTAGGCTGGGTGTCCATAACACTGAAGGAGCTAGGATGCTGCTAGGATACTGATGGAATGATTGTTTGGGATGAGGTGAGATTTATTTGCAGTTTAATTGTGGTATATAATTAGTAGGCCTGAGATATTGAAGTTTTAATCCAGAGTCTAGCACTTACTGGCTTGGCTTGTGATGTTTTGACTTTGTCACTGCAAAGAATGGACATGTTTAGAACTCCTGGTTGTTGTTGTTGTTTTGGGGTTTGTGTTTTGCATCTTTAAAAAAATTATGTAATTTTATTCTTTAAAAATATAATAAGTGCCTGTCTCCCTTCTTAATATTCCTTCAATGGCTTCCAACTGCTATTAGAATCAAATCTTAAACTTTACAGGGCCTTGAGGGAGACGTTTAAATCTAAGCTTGGACCTGACCCTTTGTCAGCGTGTTCATTTTACTGAATTTCCTTCTAAGCTGTGATTTCTTACGATTGTTAAATGGAGATGATAATAGCAATTTCTTTATAGGCTTGTAGCAGAATGAGACGAAAAAGGATATTTTAATTTTTATATTCCAGCCACTCCTTGGAAGGAAGGTTGGGCAATCCTACTTCCGTAGTGATACTGCCTCGGAAACCCAAGGAGGGATAGCTATGAGTCGGGGCCGACTCGACGGCATATAACAACAACAACAACAATTATAATATCAAGTATACAGATATATGCGATAAGCATTTATGTACCATATATTTATTTGTATCTAAGTACTTGTGTACGTAAATAGATTATACAAAATATTCTAAAGAATATATTTTATACTATAAATATATTTATATAGATTTTTCACTTGACAGATATACAGTATATATGCATTATTTATATATTTATACATATTTTCCCATGAGCATATATTTATATATAAAGTTATATGTGAATAAAATTGGAAAGAAAACCAGCAAAATGTGATAAAAGGAATTACTTCTGAAGGGTGAGTTTCTAGGTGTTTTATATTTTCTTCTTTATACCTTTCAGCGGTTTCTGTGAAGAATAAATGTTACTTTTTTATTTAAAATCAGAAAAAATATACAACAGAAGAAGATATTATATAAAAAATTCTAAAAGTATTAACTTGACAATGTCTCTAGCCCATGAGCTTGGGCAGTGACTCCAGGACCCATAAAATAAGAACCACGGCACGGCCCCTGTATTTACACAGAGAACGGCCTGGAAATATGCCTGTTTTTAACTCTTCATTCATCCTATGTACGTGATTGCTTCTGGGGCAGTAGGAACAGAGAGTTGTGGGACCTGAACATAAACAGAACAAAAGAAAAGGCAACATTATACTACAGTATTTCTAGGGCAACGTGGGCCAAGAGAAGGAAGCTTCATCACCACCTCATTTCTAAGTGTCAATTAGGGCACGATGCAAAAATCACTTAAAAAGCCTCATCTCAAAGATAGTGAAATGGGTGAGATGAACCATTAGAGAAGACAATGCCAAACGCCAATCAGATTGTATGCAAACACATGCCATCCTGGGATGGGATTACATTGTGCTTTTTTTTTTTTTTTTTTAACAATCTGTCAGAAAATGCTATTGAATATGTAACCAAAGCCTTAAAGTTTTTCATTTCATTCCTTTTGACCCAGTTATACTACTCCTAGAAAATTATTCTAAGAAAATAATCAGATGTATAATGGAGATTTGCACTTTAAAATCATCCTAAATGAAATCAAGGTTTGGCTGTATAAATTATGGTCCATCCACATAACTAAAATTTTACAGAGACAAAAACCATACTGTAGAAGAAAAATAAAGACATTAAGGTTCACCTTTACTATTAATGAAAAAATCTATTTATGCTACAGAAATACGGTGTGTTCAATTATGCAGAAAATGTTTGGTGGAAAAGACAGTAAAATTTATTAGGTTTTTATCTTCAGATGGCAGGATTATAGGTAATTTTTATTTTCCTCTTTTATCTTTTCTGTATTTTCCAAAATGAATGCAACAAGCTTTGCTTTCATCAGAAAAAAAATAATTGTGAAGGGAGAAAAGTAGATTCTTCTTTCACTTGATTATTTAGTTGATTTTGTTCTGTAAAATGGGGTTTTAACAGTGGTTAGAATTGATTTAAAAGACTAAGTTGACTTAATGATACTAAACAGGGCTGTATCTAGTTTACATTATAGAATATGAACAAAAATTAGGTCTTTAAACAACTTTTAATTTTGCTAGATGGGCATTTAGAATTGTGAACACAAGTGCAGTTGTGGCTCAGTGGGAGATCCCGGCCAGTGCAGCCATCATCTGTCTGTCATTGGAGGCTTGCCTATTGCTATGATACTGAGGAGATTTCATGGGAGCTTCCAGACTAAGACAGATTAGGAAAAAAGGCCTGGCAATCTACTTTTGAAAATCAGTCAGTGAAAATCTTATGGATCAGAACAGCCCGACTCCATTGTCTATGGGGACACCATGAGTTGAGGATCAATTCCACAGCTGGTAACAACAACACATTTAGAATAAGTAATTGCAGTGTGATGGATTGCTTTTATATGGTCTATGTAAATAAGGGGGAGCTCTGGTGGCATAGTGCCTAAGGCATGTGACTGCTAACCAGAAGGCTGGTGGTTCAAACCCACCAGCCACTCCTCAGAAGGAAGGTTAAGCAATCTACTTCTGGAGAGATACCACTTCAGAAACCCAAGGAGGGGTCACTGTGAGTTGGATCCAACTCACGGCAGTGCGTTGCGTTGTGCTTTTGTGTTATGTAAATAAGGTGCTTGTGGCTCAGAGAGGGGATTGGATAGCTTGCTAATAGTTCAAATGAGGTGCAAGGCACCCTTGTGAGGGTAGGATCATGCAAATAAGATGTATGGAACCCTCATGAGGGGATTGGTCAATTTCACCATCCCATTAGGCTTAAAATGAACCATCCCAGAGGTGGAAAGGGGGACCTCACTGCCACCAAGTGCTATAAGAAGAGGAGCTGGGAGTGGTGCATGTCCTTTGGACTGAGTATCCCTGCACTGAGAACCCCCTAGACACAGAAGACAGGTCTGTAACACCAGAGACAGCACAAGATGGCAAGAAGTGGCAGTAAGCATGGCAGAGAATCGGCAGCAGCAGAGCCAGGAGACTGGAAGGAGACAGCATGGTGGGCTGTCTGGCTCACAGAGTGAAAAAGTGGAATGCTTTCAGGAAAGAAGCTTGCTGGCAGAGTCGGGTGCCTCTGGGCACCTGTTGGCAGAGCTGGGCTTGCCAACCCGTGGAGCTAGAGAACAAGTGCCTTCAGGCCAAGGCTCACTGGTGGAATAGGGTGCCTCTAGGAACTTACCGGTGGAGCTAAAGAGTTTTGTAACACTTGCCCAAGCAGGGCAGAAGCCAGGCCAGAGGCACCAAGGGATTGAGGGTCAGGGAGAAGCCTGCCTGTGGGCATAGCTGAGAAGCTGTCCTGATTGAAGAACTATATCCTGAGTCATTCCTGATCCTGAATGGTAACCTGTTACTTCTCTAATAAACCCCATAACTGTGAATATGGTTTCTGAGTTCTATGTAGCCACTGCCACAAATTACTGAGCCCAGCAGGGAAGTAGAGAGTGTCATGGGAGGGACGACTGGTGTCAGAATTGGTGAAAAGTTTGGAGAAAGCAAGTATGTCCGACCTCTGCCTCATAGGAATAAGCCTTGGGCTATTGATCTTGTTTCTCCTTCTCCGTCGTGAAACTAAACTAGTAGGTCTGATGATGCCATTGCATCATATTTTACAGTAATATATGCATGGGCTAGAAATTCGAACTGTATCAACTGCACAAAGGGTATAGAATAGAATGAAAAGCAAGTCTCACTTCTGCCTTCACCCTCAGGGCTCCCTCAAGATCACTCCAAGGCCGCCAGTTTCTCTCTCCTGAAGGCAGTTTAACTGTGTGTTTGTTCTGTGAATACACAAGTATATGTACCACTTAATAATACATTATGGAGATCACACATATCCAACCATGTCGATGGTCCCGTTCTTTTAATAGTGCAATAGGATCCCACCAAATATGATTAATACCTTATTCAACTCTTACACTGATAGACAAGTGAAAGCTGAGTTAGGGTTTATTTCTCTATATTCCTGCCACACCTTGTCACAATCCTTTCCTAAACAGAAGTTAAGGAGCCCTGGTGGCACAATGATTAAGAGCTCAACTGCTGAGAGTTCAAACTCACCCAGCACTATGTGGCAGAAAGACCTGCAGTTTGCTCCTATAAAGATTACAGCCTAGGAAACCTATGGGTAGTTTTACTCTGTCCTATGGGTTGCTACCAGGTCACTATGAGTTGAAATTGACTTGATGGCACACAACAAAAAATAGAAGTTACTTGAGAGCAGGAAGTTGTCTTATTTTCCTGTTTGTGTGTATAATGTCTGGCCTCTCATGGTTGTAACAACATTTGATGAAGGAGCAAACCAGTACATCTCCTCCTCTGAATATAACGCTATATGTTGACTTAGGTTGCATCTGCATTCTCTTGGCAAGCATGAATTTCAACAGTCTTCTGCATAATATTGGGGAACAACTAGACAGTGATAAACTGGCCTCCCTCAAATTTCTGAGCCTGGACTACATCCAACAGCGAAAGCAGGAACACATTAAAGATCCCCTGGCATTCTTCACGGCACTCCAGGAAAAGAGAATGTTGGAGGAGAACAACCTGTCCTTCCTGAAGGAGCTGCTTTTCCGAATTCAAAGTCTGGATCTGCTGACCAGGTATCTTGGCATCAGCAAGGAGGAGATGGAGAGAGAGCTTCAGATACCAGGAAAGGCCCAGATTTCTGCCTACAGGTGAGTAGAACCTTCTCAGTTTGGAGACTTGGAGATATGTGTTAAATGGGTACAGCTTTATGGGAAGGGCCAACTGATGGCTGTCCGTGTGGTGTGACTTTGGAGGCTCTAGGAAGATGTCCCACCAGCACAAAATTAAGAAATTTAGAGGCCTTAAATAACAACAAGGGAGCTCTGGTGGTGTAATGCCTAAAGTGTTTGACTGCTAACCAGAAGGCTGGTACTTCAAACCCACCATCCACTTCTCAGAAGGAAGGTTGGGCAATCTACTTCCGTAGAGATACCACCTCTGAAACCCAAGGAGGGGTCACTATGAGTCAAATTGACTTGACAGCAGTGAGTTTGGCTTTTTTGTTGTTGTTGTTTAAATAGAACAAAACTCCCTGGGTAGCATAACAGTTTGTGCTTGATGACCAACTTAAATGTCAGCAATTCAAACATACCCAGCAGAAAGGCTTGGTGATTTACTTCTGCAACTTGGAGTTGCCATGAGTTGGAATGGGAGCTCTGGTAGCATAGTGGCTAAGACACTTGCCTGCTAACCAGACGGCTGGTGGTTCAAACCCACCAGCCACTCCTCGGAAGGAAGGTTGGGCAATCCTACTTCTGTAGTGATACTGCCTCGGAAACCCAAAGAGGGGTCGCTATGAGTCGGGTTTGACTCGACGGCACATAACAACAACAACAACAACATGAGTTGGAATCAACTCCACAGCAGCTGGTTTTATTAATGCCCTGATCCTTCTATTCTCAGAGACCTGGCTGTCTAGCATGTCCCTTGTCATATATCTCACACTCTGAGGCCTGACCATTTTTATTTTAAATGACAGAAGAGATATTCAGGATAGCTTTGGTTCAATAGAATTACGAAATCTTTATAAGGAATTTATTCATTAAGACACCACAACAACCTCAGAACTAGGAACAGTGGAGGGTCTTATATGGAAAAAGCTTTAGAGAAATACTTCTAGGATAGAGATTTCATGAGAAATAGGCCAGGTGCAAAATGGAGGTGGCATCTTCTGACCTCCTCTAACTTCACAAGAGGAGGACAGAATTACCATCAGCAGCTCAAGGCTTATTTCAATGATTCCAACTCACCCTCCAGCCATTTTACCAACTTTGACACCAATCGTCCCTGCCAGGATGCTCACTACTTCTCTGCTGGGTTTGATAATTCGTTACAATGGCCACACAGAACTCACAGACAGTACTCATAGTTATGGGGTTTATTAGAGACGTAACAGGCTACAATTCAGGTTTAGGAATGTGCTCAGGATATAGTTCTTCGATCAGGACAGTCTCCCCTCTGCTGTGCCCTCAGACACGCCTCTCTGGCTCTTGGCCTCTTGGCCTGGCCTCTGCCTTTATGGGCCAGATGAGCCTGCCGCTATGTCTCGTGCCTCTATGGTTCCACTGCCACCGTCTCTCTGACAGGGCACTCTCCGCTGAGTGTCTCTCAGCCAAGGAGGTCCAGCGCAGGGATCTCAGGTCCAAGGACGCGCTCCACTTCACCTCTAGCTCTTCTCTCTTGATGGCAGTGAGATCCCCTCTCTGCCTCTCAAAACCCAAACCAAACCCAGTGCTGTCAAGTTGATTCCGACTCATAGCGACCCCCATTGGGTTTCCGAGGCAATAAATCTTTACGGAAGTAGTTTGCCCACTTAAGCCTGACAAAGTGACAAAACTAACCAATCCCAACATCAGAGTTCTACACACCTTATTTACATGGTCCCACCCAGTAATCCGGTGGGAGTTACAAAGACTATGGCTAGAAAAGCTATACCAAGTAATTCACAGCACTGCACCAGATGATAACACTGACCAACTTCTGTTTCTACACTATTTTCACTTTCAGAATTTTAATTTTCTGATTTAATTTTGAAGTCAACATGTTTTTGATATTAAAGTTATTTTCCTTTCCATTTATATATTGAAAAGTTTGCTGACTTATAAAATACTCCTTTGTTCACCCATTCATCAAGATATCCCAAGTCTAGCATGTGTCAAGAAACAATAATACCTGTCCCTAGATGGTACAGATGGCTTGTGGTGGACTACTAACCTGAAGGTTGGTGGTTTGAACCCACCCTGTGGCGTTACAGAAGGAAGTCCTGCTTATCTACTTCCATAGATTACAGTCAAGAAAAGCCTGTGGAGCAGTTCTATTCTGTAACACATGGGATCACCATGGCCAGAATCAGCTCAATGGCAAAAGCTTTTTAATCATTATTGCACACTTAGTGTGTGTCAAAGATTGGTTTAAGCACTTTATTCATTTAATATTTATTTTTAACTTTATATAATTTATTTAATACTCATCATGTCTCTAAAATGTAGATATAGTATCATCTCCATTGTACAGATAAGGGAAAAAAAAGTGAAGTAAGTCTAAAGTCACAGCTCATCAATGTGTAGCCAAGGTTCCAACACTGGTGGTCTGGGTCCCATGAACTTAAACATTACCTCATGGTCCTCTGGGCTTATGAACAAATAAAAAACACAAGGACCCTGCTATCAGGGAACTCAGTTTGGTAAACCAAAAACCAAAAACCAAAAGCCACTGAGTTGAATTTGATTCATAGTGATCCTATAGGGCAGAATAGAACTGATCGATAGGGTTTCCAAGGCCGTAAATCTTTGCGGCTCAGAAGGAAGGTCGGGTAATCAACTTCCATAGTGATTCTGCCTTGGAAAACCAAGGAGGGGTCACTATGAGTTGAATCTGACTCAACGGCAGTGAGTTTTCTTTTTTTAAAAAATCTTTGGAGAAGCAGACTACCACATCTTTCTCCCACACAGTGACTGGTGGGTTCAAACCACTGACCTTTTGTTTAGCGGCAGAACACTTAACCACTGGGCCACCAGCCTCCTTCAGTTTGGTGAACAGACAGTTATGATATCTGTGTTAATCTCTGAGGGATACAAAGACACAGGGAAGGAGGGACTGCAGCCCGAGGACACCTTGACAATGCTTGAGCTGATGCTTAGTGGGTGAAGGGTAGTCTGCAGATAGCCAAAGGACTGAGATGTAGGAAATGGGGGGAACATAAAGGGGTGAAAGGGCTAGGTATCTGGGTGTGTTTGGAGTTTCAGATCCTTTGGTTGGTGGAATCTGTAGGGGCTGTGAGGGTGTGTTGAGGAGAGTTTGGAGTGAGGGCTCAGAAGCAGTGAGAGAAGTCGGTAAGCCGGTTGACTGGGCTCAGTTCACAAAGGTTCTTATATTCCAGAACCCAGTGGCCTTACTATTGAATGGAAAATCTGGGAGGATACTGACAAGTTTTAATTAGGGAAATGATGGTCCAATTTGCTTTTTAAAAAGCATAATTGCAAACAGTTCATTTTTTAAAAAAATTAGAACATGTTTTTATTTTATGGTGAAGGACAAAAGGAAAATAAGATTTAACTGAAAGTAGGTGAAAAGTAAAGTGGCTTGAACTTTAATTTCTGTTAAGGTTGGGATAGTTGGGCATTTGTTGTTGGTACTGGATGTGTTGGACCCGACTTGACAGCACCGAACAACAACAACAGCCATCCAGTTGATTGTGACACATAGCAATCCCATAGGACAGAGTAGAACTGCCCCATAGAGTTTTCTAGACTGTAATCTTTACAGGAGTATATCGCCAAGTCTTTCTCCTACAGAGCTGCTGGGTGGGTTTGCACCCCCAACCTTTTGGTTAGCAGCTCTTAGTCATCGTGCCACCAGGGCTCTGTAGCCAATTGTTTTCTGTGTCATTATATCGGTCTCTTACTAATGAGTTAACTCATACATCATGTTGTCAACTTTTATTTTAAAGGAAGGCCATTGGAATCAAGTCTACCGTGACTCCATATATCAAATGGGAAATTATTTAGGAAGCTATTTCTAAAGTGTCTTAATTTCCTACTGCAGGGTCATGCTTTTTCAGATTTTCGAAGATGTAAACAAAGAGGAGTTAAAATCCTTTAAGTTTTTTTTGAGAAAGGAGATTCCCAAATGTAAACTGGATGATGACATGGTAAGACTGGTATCCTGACAAGGTTTATCCCTGGGAATTGGTCAGGCAATGGGGGTTAATGAAATTGAGGAGGTGGGCTCTTCAAAGACAACTTTGATTCTCACTTTTTAACTAGGGGAGAAGAATCTTGTCAGGCATGGCTGTCGTTGGTATTATGTCTTTGTAGACTGTAAAGTCCTGCTTATGTTAATTATCAGGACCAAACAGGGAAGGCTGGTTATTTTCTGGGGCACATCCCAGTGTAGGACCCAGCAGAGGCAGAAGACAGTCTTGGGTCTGAGGTGTTTTCCCCATTTTTGCATCCCTGAAATAACCTGGAACTTGGAATTTAGACAGATGGGGGGAGGGAGCTCAGGTCTGGAAGTAGAATGGGGGCCAGAGACAAAGTTAAGTGTGAGACAGTCCCCAGGTGTCTCAGGCACCTCTGGCTGCATCCCAGTTGTCACTGGGAAGACTTACAAAGACAATTCACTCAGCCCAGATCCTCAACCTGACTGGTTGATGGTTGCCATGGCTTCTCCTTTATTCTCTCCCTTGAGTCTTTCTGGGCCAGAAAACACAGAATCGCAACCCCCCGCCCCCCCAACTGTAGGAAGCAAGGAAGGGCCTTTGGTTTGAGAAAGTGGAAGTAAAAACAGTCTGATCTAAATTCCAGTCTCACTCAATGCAGTCTTCCAACTTTGTTTCTCCTCCTTGTAGTCCTTGCTTGATATTTTCATCGAGATGGAGAAGAGGATGCTCCTGGCAGACGGAAATTTGGAGACCCTAAAAAAAATCTGTGGCCTAATCAGTAAGAGCCTGCTGTTGAAAATTAATGAGTATGAAGACTTAAGCAGAGGTAGAAATAAGCTGACAGCAAAATGTGTTCTTAAATTGACAAATCCTTCTGTGCCACAACTGCTTCTAACCAAATATGGGGGGTGGGTTTCTTTTTAATCCAGAGAGAAGAATGAGCCTTGAAAGAAGTCCAGATGGATTTTCAAATGGTAATACTTGGAGATAAGGTTTCACGATTTAATTAGTTACTTTACTCTCAGATATACTCCTGCCTCATCTTCACAAACTTTTTGCCATGTCCACATCTCTATGGACCTACTCTCCTAACATCAGGGTGAAACCTCAGTGGCTACTTGTAGTCGATCACCTCCTCTACGCGTTGAAAATATAAAAAGAATTGCCAAAAGACACAGACCCTGCAGTCCCGGACTGACCAGTTTGAAATAGATGCAGAATTTGTCAGTGCAATTTTTTTCTCCAAGTGTTTTTCCTTCCTTTTTTCCTCCCTTCCTTCCTTCCACCTTCCCTCGTTCCCTCCCTCCCTCCCTCCCTCTCTCCTTTCTTTCCTTGCTTCCTTCTTTCATGTGTTGTGCCTGTGTTATATACTGGGTAGCTGGATTCAGCCTTCTGGTAAGCAGTCAGATGCCTCACCACCAGAGCTCCCCCAAATGCTCTGAAATAGTCTGACTAGTATTGGTGTGATCTCTTCTCTGAATGTTTGTTAGAGTTCACCGTAAACTTGTCCAGGCCAGGGCTTTGTTGTTGTTGTTGAGAGTTTTTTCCTACCTCAGTCTGTGTTAGTTCATGTAGGTAGTGTGTTTCTTGAAATTTCTGCATTTTCTCTAGGTTTTCAAATTTGTGGGATAACAGTTTTTCATAGTATTCTGTTATGATCCTTTTTATTTCAATTTGTTCTGGTGTAATAACACCCATCTCGTTTCTTATTTGGGTTATTTTCTTCTTCTCCTGCTTTTCTTTGGTCACTTTGGCCAGTGATTTCTTAATTTTATTGATCATTTCAAAGAACCAGCTTCTGGTCTTGTTGATTATTTTGATTATTTTTCCTTTTCATTTCGTTCTCACTGCTGTCGAGTTGGATCCGACTCATAGTGACCCCTCCTTGGGTTTCCGAGGGGGTATCACTATGGAAGTAGATTGCCCAACCTTCCTTCTGAGGAGTGGCTGGTGGGTTTGAACCTCTAGCCTTCTGGTTAGCAGTCAAATGCCTGAGGCACTTCGCTACCAGAGCTCCTATTTCAATTTGTTCTGCTCTAATCTTTGTTTCCTTTCTTCTAGTGACTGTGGGTTACTAGATCCTTTCTTCTAATGACTGTGGATAACAGTCTAGTGACTGTTTTAGTGAATTGTAAGGTTAATGCTTTGATTTGGGCCCATTCTTTTTTTGCAGGGAGGGGCTGTTTATTGCTGTAAATTGATCTCAGCACTCCTTTTGTTATGTCCCAGAGGTTTTGGCATGTTGCATTTTCATTCTCATATGATTCTAGGAAATCTTTTTATTTCCTCTTTGATTTCTTCTACTACTCAATGTGTAGAAGCAAAGTGTTATTTAGTTTCCACCACTTGATTTTTTTCCCTTGCTCTTTCTGTTATTAATTTCTACTTTTATAACATTGTGACCAGAGAAAATGCTTCATATTATTTTGATGTTTGGCATTTTATTGAGGCTCGCTTTGTGGCCTAAAATGAGGTCTGTTCTGGAGACTGATCCCTCTGTGGTGGGAAAGAATGTATACTTTGCTGCTGTTGAGTGGCGTGTTCTGTATATGTCTATGAGGTCAAGTTGATTGATTGTAGCATTTAGATCTTCTGTATCTTTGCTGAGTTTCTTTCTAGTTGTTCTTGTCCTTCATCAAATATAGTGTGTTGAAGTCTACTACTGTTATTGCGTAACTGTCTATTTCTTTTTTCAATGTTATTAGAGCTTATTTCATGTATTTTGGAGCTCTGTCACTGGGTGTGTATATATTTATTATGGTTATGTCCTCTTGGTAGATTGACTTATTAATCATTATAAAATGTCCTTCCTTATCTTTTATGGTGGATTTTGCCTTATAGTCTATTTTATCAGAGATTAATATTTCCATTCCTGCTCTTTTTTGGTAATTGTTTGCTTTATATATACTTTTTTCCATCCTTCTAGTTTTAGTTTATCTATGTCTTTGTGTCTACAGTGTGTCTCTTGTAGACAGCATATTGATGGGTTTTTGTTTGTTTTTTTAAATCCATTCTGCTACTCTCTGTCTCTTTACTGGTATGTGGAATCCATTTACGTTCAGTGTGATTATTGATAGGTATGAGTTTACTGCTGTCATGTTGTGCTTTTTTGTGTGTGGTGTAGATGACTTCTTTGTTCCATTTAACTTTCTATGTTGAGTTATTTTTATTTCTGGATTTTTCTTTCCTTTCTTTCATTGTTGCTGATTTTGTGTTTACTGAGTCTTTATGTTTTTCCTTTTTTCAAATTTTAGTGAGTACATTTGTTACCTTCTTTTGTTGTTCCCTTGAGATTTACCTTATCTTTCTAAATTTAAAGCAGTCTTTTATTTCTTGATATCACCTTTACTTCCTCTCGACATGAAAGTTCTAGAACTACATTTATTTACCCTTTTTGTTTTGAAATTGTCATCATTTACAGACTGATTTCTCTGGTTCTCTGTTTTCAATCTTTTAGCTTTATTTTTGAGAATTCTTTATCAGGTTGGTATCTTGCTAATGCTGTCCTGTGTTCTATTTCAGGTTGTTATAGGTTCTCTGTCCAAAGGACTCCTTTTAATATTTTCTGTAAGGTTGGTGTGGATTTTGCAATTTCCCTTGTTGTTGTTGTTGTTACATGCCGTCGAGTCGGACCCAACTCATAGTGACCCCTCCTTGGGTTTCTGAGGCAGTATCACTACGGAAGTAGATTGCCCCATCTTCCTTTTGAGGAGTGGCTGGTGGGTTTGAACTGCCAGCCTTCTGGTTAGCAGTCAAGTGCTTTAGGCCCTACGCTACCAGAGCTCCTTAGTTTCTGTTTATTTGGAAAAGTCGTAACTTCACCATCATATTTGAGAGACAATTTTGCTTGATATGTAATTGTTGGTTGGCAATTTTTTCTTTCAAGGTTTTATATATGCCATCTCATTGTCTTATTGCCTGTATGGTTTCTGCCAAGTAATTAGAGCTTTGTCTTATTGGTTCCCCTTTGTAGATGAGTTTTCATTTTTCCTGACCTGTGCTCAAGATTCTTTCTTTGTTTTTGGTTTTGGCCATTTTGATTATAGTATGTCTTGGTGGCTTTCTTTTGGAGTCTATTCTATATGGGATTCACTGAGTTTCTGGGATGAAAATCTTCTCATCTTTCATGATATTAAGGAAGTTTGCTGCCAGTGAATCTATGATAATTCTCTGTGTTTGTTTATTTTTGCTTCCTGTTCCAGCCACACATAAAGTTTTCCTTTTCCTAGTGTCCTACATTTTTCTTAGGTTTTCTTCATTCTTTTGTCTCCTTTTCTCTCAAACAAATTGGTGTCAAGGAATTTATCCTCTATTTCACTAACTCTATCTTCCATTGATTCAATTCTGTTCCTGTGTCCTTCTGAAATTTTATTATTAATCTTTTGGATTTCAAGTTGCTGTTTCACTATGGTTTCTAATTATCTATTTATTTTGATATTTTTTTCTTATATAGTTTTTCTGAATCTTTCTGTTGCTTTGTCTGTGTTTTCCTTGATTTTATTTATGCTTTCCTTGGTTTTGCCTGTTTCTCTCAATGTCTTTCTTAATTTCTTGAAGAATGCTACATATTAATCTTTTGAGTCCTTATCAGGTACTTCCATTACCATTTCTTCCTACAGAGGATTTTCTGGTTGTTTATTTTGGTCACTTGCTGAAGTCATCTTGCCCTGTTTATTTATGTGATTTTGTGTTGTTTATTGGCATTAAGGTGTTATTATAGTTGTTTATCTTGTGTTTGCTGCACCCTGATTTTTGTTTTGTTTGTTTGTGATATATCTGAGTAGGTGGGGAATGTGAGGTACTTTGGACAATAGTCTGGTTGCTCTGCAGCTCTCACACCTGTCTTCAGGAGCGTAGTGCTGTGTCTGGGTGTGGGAGCACAGATCTCTCTCTGTTCATTGGTCTTGAATAACATCTGAGGATGTAGCTGGTATTGCTGGTGAGATGATGTGTCTGTCCATCTCTTCACCTGGGTGTGGGCACAGGATGTGCTCTCACTGGTTGCTGGATTGGGTGTTGCGTGTGCTCATTGCTGGTTGTTGGGTGGCTGGGCAAGGGTGTCCAGGTAACTGGTCAATGAGTGGGTGACACAGAAACTCTCATCAATGGGCCTTGGTGGGCAGGGCTGAAGGGATGGTTGAAGTGGTAACAAGTCACTGGTTGTGGGGAGGTGTGCAGTGGGGCTGAGGCAGGGGGAATGCCACTAGTCCAGAGGTGCCTGCTAGGAAAGGCATGTCCCTGTCCATTACAGCACGACATGGGGGAGGGTGTACCACCAGTCTTTGGGCCCCCAGCACAGGTGGTGGTGACAGGAAGTAGGAGGTGCCACTTGTGTACAGGCCCCTGGCATGGGCAGTTGGGTGTAGGAGCACGTACCTCCTGTTTGCAGGTTCCCAGTGCCATTGGCTCTGCAGAGCAGTGGGTGCTACTGGTCCATGGACTTGGTGTGGGTGTCTGGGGCACAGGAGTGTGTGCTGTTGCTCTGCAGTCTGTTGGTGCTGGTGGCTGGGTGGAGAGGCCATGCTGCTGCTCCACAGAATCCCGATGCAAGTGACAGAATGAAGGGGCAGGCACCTCAGGTCCATAGTCCTCCAGCATGGGGGACTTAGGGAGCACAGTGGATGAAGCGAGTGTACTTAAATTTTACAGGGCATGGAGCCCTGTGCTTGCTGTGGACATGGGTGCAGAGTCACTCCTGCTTGGCTGTACCATGTGATGGGGGCTTTGGCTGAGAATGCTGTTTGCTTTGTCTCAATATTACCATGCTGTGCAGGTTTGGCTGGCGGGGTGTGATGAACCATAATTTTCTGTGTCCCACCAGCCACTCCTCGGAAGGAAGGTTGGGCAATCCTACTTCCATAGTGATACTGCCTCGGAAACCCAAGGAGGGGTCGCTATGAGTCGGGGCCGACTCGACAGCACATAACAACGACAACAACAACTGTTTTTTACAATCTCACCTCCCACTTGATACTCAGTCTGATTATTGAGCCTTGTCTTTGATATTCAGGGTTCCAAAGCTGTCATTTATATCCAGCTCACTTGTTTTCTTGGGTCTTTGCTGTAAAATGGACATAATGAGGCATTTGACTACACTGCCATCTTGGACTGCTTCCTTTAATGAAGATTATATTAAATTCAGAGGAATATTTTTTAAAATCCAATAATCTCATCACTCTATAAATACTAATAGTGTTAATATTTTTGTACTTTCACCCTGTCTTTGTATGTATATATATGTATGTATCTGTGTGTGTATACCGAAAACAATTTTTAAAAAAATTTTTATTGTGATTTGGTGAAAGTTTACAGAGAAAATTCATTTTCCATACAGCAGCTCACACACACTTTGTCTCATGACATTGACTGCAATTTCCCACAATGCATCAGCTCCCCTCCCACTTCCTTCCTATAGTTATCTCTTCTCTGTCCTTCCCTCCCATGTACTCCTGCCCCCTGAGCTGTCTCCCTGTACATACCCAGCCCTTCTATTCTCCCATGATTGATCTCTCCAAGGAGTATATCTACCTAACATAAATGTTCAGTTCATATGCCTGTCTTTTGTTTGGCTGGAAGCCACAGAAGTGGATTCACTTCCAGACCTGAAGGGCAGCTATGGGCCATAGTCTCAGGGGTTCCACCAGGCTCTATTAGACTAGCAAACCTGGTCCCTTTAAAAAAAAAAAAAAAAGATTTTGAGTTTTGTTTCACATTGTTCTCCCAGTCTATCCAGGATCTCCTACATAGATCCCCCTCTGTGTGGTTTACAGTGGTAGCTGGGCACCATCTAGTTCTTCTGGTCTTATGGTTGTATAGGCTGAGGATTGCATGGTGTACCAGTCACTTGGACTAATTGTTTCCATGCCTCTTTGGTTTTCTTCATTCTTCTTTGCTCTGGATGAGGAGAGACTCATCATTGCATCTAGATGGCTGCTTGCAAGCTTTTAAGATCCCAGTCACTACTCATCAAAGTAGGATGTGGAACCATGTTTTTGAGTAGTATGTTATGCCAGTTAAGCTTGATGTCCCCTGCAATCATGGTCCTGAGCCCACAGGTCCAACCACTCCTTCCCTCTGGGTAGCTGGCTGTGGCCAAGAAGTGACTACAACCTTTTCCCTTGTCAGCTTTGCTATATACCTGGAAATTCTTACAGAACATGAAAATACACTTGTAGAAACATTGTCTGCCAACCCTATACATGGTCATGGGCACACTACCCCCTGCACAGACACACCTAATCATTCAGCTTGTCCACCCCTCTATCCACCCATGGATCAATGCTTGCCATCACTGACAACACAGTACTGTACAAAAGGGCTCATCTTTGTTGCCTGTACCTCCCATGCACCTCTCTATGTCTTCCTCTTCTTCAGTGCCACTGTGTTGATCACTCACATTTGGTACATTACCCTTCCCTTCACCCAGATCAATACTTGTAGCAGTGAGAAAACAAATTTTTGATCATTCTTTGTTATATTGTAGTTGTTGTTACGTGCCATCAAGTCGATTTCAAAACATAGCAACTCTATGTGACAGAATAGAACTGCCTCATAGGGTTTCTTAGGCTGTAATCTTTACAGAAGCAGATTGTCAGGTCTTTTCTCCCACAGAGCCACTGGTAGATTGAACCACCAACCTTTTGGTTAATAGCTGAATGCTTAATCATTGCACCACGGCTTCTTGTTAAAGAGTAAGGCTGAGTAATGTTCATGCATCCCTCCCACTCTCCATACCTGCTCGAGCCCAAGGCTCTAAGAGGTTAAAGTTCTTTTAAATCAATAATTAATTTGAACTAGCTCTCTCTGATAGTTTTATTAGTGAATATGTCACAAATACCACATTGTGGTATTCAGCCCAGTGATGTAGAAGAATATGAAATTATGGCACTTCTTGGCCATAATTCTCCCTTTGAACATGAGACCTTGTGTTTCCAGAACATGTTAATGGCTCAGCCTTCAGAATTCGTGTGAACTAAAAGACTATATTCAAAGCCTTTGAGTTTTAATATGAGTTTTTACATTTTTATTTTTAAATGGATCTTATGTTGTCCTAAAAGGGCCCTGGTGGCACAACATTAAAGAGCTCAGCTGCTAACTGAAAGGTCAGTAGTTCAAATCCACCAACTGCTCCATTGGAGAAAGATGTATGGTCTACTTCCATAAAGATTACAGCCTTGGAAACCATATGGGGAGAGTTTTACTTGTCCTATGGGGTCACGAGGAGTCAAAATCAACTCCATGGCAATGAGATATTTGTTCTAGGTGCTACCGTTTGTTTACCAAAGTACGTTCCCTGCCATGTCTTATTCTAGATGTGTCTCTTGATTTCTTGTAGGGGAGGAGTTAATTGGAAAACTGACAATGTCTGACTCTCCAAGAGAACTGGAAAGTGAGTTAGGGGTAAGTAGAAACCTCAAAGTGCTCGTTCTAGGTGCTAATTATTGAATTCATTAGCTTTTTTAGCTGCCAGATAAATCAATAAGGGGTAGAAACTTATTACAAATTTTGGGAAATGTAGGGAAAAAAATCACAAAAAGATAAATTTAAAATGTGGCTTTTTAATTGTTAAAATATGACCTCTTCAGTTTCCTATGAATTAAGTTTTAATTTTAAAGTAATAGACAAAGGTATTGGAATGGTTGGAGGGTAGAGGGAGTAGGAAGTTTCCTACCTAATCTTTCTAGGAGCCACATCAGCCTGAAAGGGCTAGGGTTTTGGGAAAAAAGTCTACTTAGCAGGATTGGAAAAAGCAAAGCGTTGTCTTTTAACTTGACATTTGAAAAAGCTTTCTCCTTTGTGATTAATATAAGCAGCAAACACTCATGATTTAGTAGTCTATGTATCCTCATCTTGATTTCAAGTCAGCATAATAATAACTTTCAAGACATAATAATATCATTCAGTGATTCACCAAATACATTCGGACTCATTAGCCCATTTACTTCTCCCCAAATGCTACTTGCAGTCAGGCTTGTCACCAGACCTCTCTCAGGCTAAAAAATGAAGATTAACCAAAGTAAGGTGGCACTTTGTAAACAGTACTTCACAAATAGTATTGTCTCCACTGAACAGCTGAAGACATTGAGTCTAGGACAGATTAGGTGGTGGTGGTGGTGGTTGTGTGCTGTCAAGTCAGTTCTGACTCAGAGCAACCATATAGGACAAAGTGGAACAGCCCCATTGGGTTTACTAGGCTGTAAATCTTTATGAGAGCAGATTACCAGGTCTTCTGCAGAGCTCCTGGGTGAATTTGAACTACCAACCTTTCTATTAGCAGCCAAGTGCTTAACTGTTGCCCCACTCCAAAACAAAAAACCAAACTCACTGCCATCGAGTTGATTCCAACTCATAGTGACCCCTTTGGGTTTCTGAGGCAGTAAATCTTTATAGAAGTAGAGTGCCCAGTCTTCCTTCCACAGAGTGTCTGGTGGGTTTGAACTGCCACACCTTCTGGTTAGCAGTCAAATGCCTTAGGATCTACACCACCAGAGTTCCTTATAGGTTAGGTAATTTACCCAAAGTCTTATGGTTATGAAGAAGTAGAGCCAGGAATTCTGCCACTTAGCCTGGGACCCTTTCTCTACCTCAAGACTTCCAACTAAATCCTGACTAATGTCAGCACTGAGACGGTCCTAGGAAAATGAGCAAGACCCAGGGTCACCTCTGACAGGTTGTGTCAGGTACTTAGTCTAAATAACAGACCCCATAGCACAGCTTCCTGACCATTGCATCTCACCCCACCACTCCTGTGGTCCTCAGAGGTGGGTTAAGATTTTAAATCAGATTTTTAAAAGCCCAGAGACCAGACTATGTCCTATGTGAAAGGCAGGCACACAGTGGTTAGCCCAGAAGCCTGGATGAGTAGAGCAGGTAGCCAAGAGAAACATAAGGTCATGGAGTGGCATGCATTCATTCATTCAGAAACGACTGAGCACTCACAAGTTAATAAATTCTAGGCTTGGCACAGATGATATCTCCCTGGAGGAGTCTACTGTATCACAAAGGAAGCAGGCCCAAGAACAAATAATTATAAATCCAAGTGATGACAACAATCTCAAAATATGTGCAAAGTGCTCAGGAGGCTCGACTACTGGGACACTGCTTTAACACACTCACTAACTCTGGGACAGAAGTCTGAGGGAGACCCAGGAACAGGTGGAAACTAGTTCTCCAGGGTAGCAACTCCAAGTTGGGGTGGGACAACAAAAAGCCACTTTGGCTTGAGGGACAGTCTAACATCTTACTATGGATTGTTGGTTCAAATCTGTGGTGTCCAACCCACAGTCAGGCCCTGGGTTGGGTTTTTGTTTTCCAGACATCAGACAAAGTTTACCAAATGAACAGCAAACCTCGAGGATATTGTTTGATCTTCAACAATTATGATTTTGCAGTAGCACGGAAGAATGTGAGCAAGCTTTACAAAATTAAAGATAGAAATGGAACAGACTTGGATGCAGGTAGAGTATAACTCAAAATAGAGATGTGAAATATTTCTTAGATCTATATTTTTATCGAAAGAAGGAGGACAAAATTGTACCAACAGGGCTGTGTGTTTCTTCAAAATGAATGTAGCTATATTTCCCTGTGGAGGTGAAGAACAATGTTATGTATTTTTTAATTTGTTGATATATTTTTAAATGAATTTTTTCAAAGCAATGTCTATATAAAGTCTTTCTAAAAGGCTTATAATTAAAAGCAGCAATAAGATTTGTTTTTAATTCAATTACACCCATTCCTCACATATCAACATAGTTAGGTTCCAAAGACCAGGCCATTATGCAGCAACAGCATGTGAAAATGGAGAACGACCACATCAGATCACAAAATAGAAGACAGCTGCCTCACTACATAACTACCAAATCACATCGTTAAATAGCTGCCAAACCACTGAGAATCACAGCCCAGCCAAGCTGCCACATAACTTTACCCATCACAGCCCGAGTTACTCTCGTCTCACACCTCAGTATTCTTTACTGCCAGACATATGTTGTTAATAAGCAAAATAGCTGGATAGTAGATTTTTTAAAACTACTGTCGTAAATGTGAAACTTTGGATAATGAGCGAGTCAGTAAGTGAGGAGAAAGTATAAATGTATAATGCTTCTGGGAAATGCATTTGACATCAGGTGAAAACATTGCCTTGGCATCGAGAGTGCTTATAGAAGGTATGTTCATAAAAGCTGGGCTATTGAGTACAGCAGAAATTGTGGGTCCTTAACAGAAATAACATTTTCAAATGTTAAACTAGCTAGAAATTCTTTTGCACAGTTAATTGAAGCTCAGAGTGAGAACTTACAAGTTAAATGAAAAAAATAATATGAATATAAAATGACAACAAATATAAATAACAATAGAAATAATCCAATCTGATATTGTGATTATTAATAATTTCGACTTGATTTGGTCTTCATGACCATTACAACATCAGGTGATGACATTTTGCAAAGTTTAGAAGATTAATATAGGTTCATTATAATCATCAGGACTCTGAGATGATCACAGTTGATAATTGACTTGTTATTCAAACAAATCAGTTAGAAGGTTTGACAAAGGCACTGACCTTAAATCCATCAAAGACACCATTCATCACCACACATCTTGGTACTAAAGAAAAGATCTCAGTCCTCTAATTTCCATTCATCTAATACTAGATTTCTCTTTAAATAATATTCTATTATGCTTCTGGCTGTTGATTTTCCTTTTATCTTGGTTGATTGGTTCTAGCAAGCATTTGAGTTTGCATGCCCTGTTTTTTCTGTCCCTGTTTGTATGTTCCATGCCAAATGAGTAAAAGTAGGAGACTTAGCTGCTTGAGTCATTTGAGAAGATTTAGCATAAACTAAATAGACATATTTTATTCAAAAGTTTTTAAAAACTTTTTTTCTGGTTAAGTAAGTAATAGTTATTTTTAAAATTGGTTTAGTAGGAAGTCTAAATAATACATCTTACAGACTCAAACCAAAAACCAAACTCATTGCCGTTGAGTCAATCCTCACTCACTGTGACCCTTGTTGGGTTTCCAAGGCTGTAAATCTTTATGGAAGCAGACTGCCTTGTCTTTCTTTCATGGAGCAACTGGTAGGTTCAAACCACCAACCTTTTGGTTAGCAGCCAAATGCCTTAATCACTACCCCACCAGAGCTCCTTTCTTGTAGACTAGTGCAGAAAAGACAAGTCAGCAATATTCTTCCTTTCCTCACATGTTTCAGGATTTGAGCATGTTCTCAGCTGGTGGCAATAACTATTAGCAGCCATGTAATCCAGATACTATTTCAGAGGATTTTATTCTTTAAAAGGAGCCCTGGGCTTAGGACCATAGTTGCAGGGGACATCAAGCTCAATTGGCATAACATACTATACAAAACATTGTTCCACCTACTACTTTGGCAAGTAGTGACTGGGACCTTAAAAGCTAGGAAGCTGCCATCTAGATGCAACAACGGGTCTCTCCTCGTCAAGAAGAAAGAAGAAAACCAAAATTAATGGAAACAATCAGTCCTAGTGACTGGTACACCATCCGATCTGCAACCTATACAACTATGAGACCAGAAGAACTAGATGGTGCCCAGCTACCACTGCCATCCACTTGGAAGGGATGTAGGAGATCCTGCATAAAGAGGGAGAACAATGTGGAACAAAACTCAAAATCATTTGGAGGCAAAAAAAAAAAAAGAAGGTGGTGACCAGGTTTGCTGGTCCAGTAGAGCCTGGTGTAACCACTGAGACTATGGCCCCTAGCTGCCCTTCAGGTCTGGAATTGAACCCATAACTGTGGTTTCCAGCCAAACAAAGTACAGGCATGTGAGTTAAACATTTACCTCAAGTAGACACACGCCCTGGAGAGAACAATCATGGGAGAAGGAAGGGCTGCTTATGCACAGGGAGATAGCGCAGGGTGCAGAAGAGTATGAAGGGATGGACACTGGGAGGAGGTAACTATGGGGAGGAAGTGGGAGGGGAGCTGCTGCATTGTAAATTTTGGTCAATGACATGAGACAAAGTATATGTGAACTGCTGTATGAAAAATGAATTTACTCTGTAAATCTTCACCCAAATCTTAAAAAAAAAAAAAAAAAAAGTAAAAGGAGCCCTGGTGGCACAATGGTTAGAGTGCTTGGCTGCTAGCCAAAAAAAGGTTGGAGGTTCAAACCTACCAGCCACTCCATAGGAGAAAGATGGGCAGTCTGCTTCTGTAAAGATTTACAGCCTTGGGAACACTATGGACAATGCTACTCTGTCCGATAGAGTTGCTGTAAGTCACAATCTGCTCGATGGTGATAGTTTGGGGTAGTTCTTTAAATTCTGGTTCAAATTCTTATCTGATCAGTGTTATACCCAATGGTAGTGCTCTCCAACTCTGGGCTGTGGGCTTGGAATTGTGCTGTAATATGAGTTTCCCTTATTTCACTTTTCAGAGGCTTTGAAAAATACCTTTAGTGAACTTCATTTTGAGGTAATAGATTTCAAAAACTGCACAGCAAAGAAAATCTGTGAAGTTCTGGAATCCTACCAAAATAAGGACCACGGTAGCAAAGACTGCTTTATCTGCTGCATCCTGTCCCATGGAGACAAAGGCATCATCTACGGCACTGATGGGCAAGAAGCCCCCATCTATGAGCTAACCTCTTACTTCACCGGTTTGAAGTGCCCTTCCCTTGCAGGCAAACCCAAAGTCTTCTTCATTCAGGCTTGCCAAGGGCATAACTACCAAAAAGGTATAGCTGTTGAGACTGACTCAGAGCAGCAGGAAGCCTGTTCAGGAATGGCCTCACCATCTCAGAAGAGTTATATTCCAAATGAGGCTGACTTTCTGCTGGGGATGGCCACTGTGAAAAACTGCGTTTCCTACCGAAGCCCCATGGAGGGGACCTGGTACATCCAGTCACTTTGCAAGAGACTGAGAGAAAGATGTCCTAGGTAATTTTTACCTGCCCAAACTTCCTTAGTGTTACACTACTGTCTCCCTGTGACCACTGCTATACATCCAGATCCAGAGCTCAGTAGAAAATGCTAACAGATCAGATCAGTGTCCAAAGGAGTGTTTTCACTCATCTCTAAACATCTACCTGTGGATCCGGCTTTACTTCCCAATCAGTTACAAAGTGAGAGAGATGGCGAGTGTTGGCATCTAGTTCATAGAGAAACTGAGATACTTACTGAAGGGCTTGACTTATTCTACACTTCAAAGGCAACCAGGTACCACAAAGCTAGAAAGGATGGTAAAATTATGTAGTTCAATTCTCTGTCTTTCAGGCAGGTACATGATTAGTCAACCCAAGTAATTTTGGAAGGCTTCCAATAAGGTAGTAACCATTCCAATGTTTAACATTCTCTGACTCTGTCAAAAGTTCTGTAATAGTTCTTTGTGCATTGTGGGAGATTAGTTGATCACCAGCTATAGAGTAGCAAACTTTTATCTTTCCACTGATTTGGTCTGCTTTGAAGCTGTAAAATATAGAACAATATCCTTTCCTCATTTATTACATCATGTACTTCTTTTAGTTAAATGATAGTTTCTTATGTCACAGATTACCCAGATCACACACCTTGACAGATGAATAGCAAGAAACCTTCTTCAGGTTCCTTCTAGCTCTGTGTCTCATGTTTTCATTGTATGCAGAGTGAAAATTTCCTATGGCAGATAAAGGAATTGATGATGTTTTCCTATTGTAACTAAGACCCTAAGTCCTGCAAATTTCTAGGGGATACCTGCAGAGGCAGGAGCTCTGGTGGGGTAGTGGTTAAAGCATGGGGCTGCTAACCAAAAGGTTGGTGGTTTGAACCCACCAGATGCTCCATGGGGAGAGATGAGGTGGTCTGCTTTCATAAAGATTTATAGCCTTGGAAACCCTATGGAGCAAACTTACCCTGTCCTATATAGTCATCATGAGTCAGAATTGACTCAATGGCAGTGGGTTTGGTTTTTGGTTCAGCTGCAGAGGTAAATGAAAAAACAAAGCTGATGGAGAGGCTGGTGTGAAATGGGTAAGACTGAGTGCAGAAGAAATTCAATTTCCACTTGCCTCGCCCTTGTGATCTGTTCCTATGAAGACAAGACCCTAGGAAATGCTATGGGGCAGTTCTACCCTGTCATATATGGTTGCTGTAAGTTGAAATAACACAAAATATAACACACACACACACACATAGTAGCAACAAAATTTGATTGCAGCATAGATGAATCCACAGAAGCAATATCATTTGAGGCAGAGAGTGTTGGAGGTATTCAGGGGATCAGGGGACCAAGTACATGGAGCAATGCCATATACACAGAGGTCAGAAGGGAAAGAACCCAAATCTAATGCTGACATTGACATTGCTAATGGTCAGTTATTAAGATATTAAGCTCTGAGACAACTTGTTTATCTGGAAAGCTATGGTAGGTCTTAGTTTCCAAAACCAAACAAGTTGCTGTTGAGTTGATTTCAATTCGTGGCAGCCCCGTGTGTCACAGAGCAGAACTGAGCTCCAGAGGGTTCTGTTGGTTGTAATCTTTATGGAATTCCATAACCAAGTCTTTGTTCTATGGCAACACTGGGTGGCTTCAAAACACCAACCTTCTGGTTAGCAGCTGAGTGCAAACAATTTGTACCACCCAGGGAATATGGTCTTAGTTACGCCAGTTATTATTTCAAAATGCCTAATGTTTTGAGAAAAGGAACCATCAGTCAGTACCAGCAGATGAAGCAGTTCATATGAGTTTTCCCCTCACCCACCCTCACAATGTTATGCTGTGTTTTTCAGAGGCGATGATATTCTCACCATCCTGACGGAAGTGAACTATGAAGTCAGCAATAAGGATGACACGAAAAACAAGGGGAAACAGATGCCACAACCTACTTTCACACTGAGAAAAAAACTCTACTTTCCTCTTGATTGATGTTAGTATTTATGTATATAACACTACATCTACTCTTCACTTATCTATTGTCATGTTATCTCACATTTCACATTTCTATTTTGCACATTAATGATGTACATCTGGCTGTAATGAATGCCAAGTCATAAGGCAAGAGTAAAGGCTGGATGTGATGGTTAAGGTTATGTGTCAACTTGGCTGGGCCATGATTCTCCGTGGTTTGGCAGTTATGTAATGATGTAGTCATCTTCCATTTTGTGATGTGCTGTGCATTTTTACATAATGACCTGATCTCAGAAACCTAACTATAATGATAAATGAAGAGTGGGTGTAAAATTATTTTTTAAGAAGCTTTTCTTAGTTTGCATAACACTATGCTTAATTTAATTAACTATTACTATTTTGCACTTTTTTTATTATTGTTGTTTTTAATGGCTGGGAGGGGAGAGAATGGGAGTCAGGACATCGTCCTAATGCTCTTGCAAAGTCAAGCCCAAATCTCTGCCTTTGCAATAATAGCAAGTAAAACTGGACATTTATGTCCATAGCCATTATTTTAATGGAATTGATTAGTGAAAAAAGTTTTAAAACTTATAGTAGATGCAAAAAGTAAATTAAATTTTAAAAGATTCAAAAAGCAGTGGCAGAATGTTTCAACCAGAACCACTTAAATTCATTCCCTTCAAATTTTTAAACATTTTTTCAATAAGCAAAAAGAAGAAATTAAGAGCATCATCCCAATCTTTTACCTTGAATATGGTGTTCATTGCAGCATAACCAACTCAAACGCACTGCCATCGAGTAGGACCCGACTCATAGCAACCTCTCCTTGTGTTTCCGAGGCGGTATAACTACGGAAGTAGATTGCCCAACCTCCCTTCTGAGGAGTGACTGGTGGGTTTGAACCACCAGCCTCTGGTTAGCAGTCAAATACCTTAGGCACTACACCACCAGAGCTCCTTCATAGCACCATAGAACCTTTACAAAGCACAAGAGGAGGAGGAAGTGGTGAATGCCATTTCCCACTGTAAGGCCTCAGGTGGTTGGTCAGACTTGCATCTCAGCTGCCTGAGTATAGATTTCATCAGGCAGAAGGACATCCTCTCAAAGGCTTCTTAAGTAGATTTTTGTTATCCAGGCTCCTTTACAAAAGCCCTCATGTGTTAAGGTTCAGTGATTGGACAAACAACATCAAAAACAAGTGTGCCTCCTTCTCATGACTCCTCCTGAGCAATGGGAAAGAGACACAATGTTTCTGTGATGAAAGACATTAGGCCTCTGTTTAGGCTTAGGTTTCATAAGACCTGGGGACATGATCCTCAGGACACCATTAATATCACTTTTAAAAGGGTAAAAGTTAAGAGGACATTAGACTGTATTTCTAGTCTATCCTTCCAGGCCATCCTCCACACTACCTTAATGAATTACTTTTTTTTTTTTTTTCATGTAAATTGGAAAATGCCTGTTATTGGCTCAAAAATTAAAATTCAAATTATTTTACAAATTCTTTATAATATTTCCCAACTACTTTTTCAGCCTCTTTTCCTGTCACTATGGTAACGTATACATGCTTCTCTTCTGCAACATGATTTGCGTTTTGCTAGCAATGCTGCCTTCTTTCATGCATTTGCATTCACTTTGTGTTCTGTTCATTTTAAATATTAGAAAACGAGTTGTCTTTAAAAAGTAAATTTTCTTTTCAAGAATAGATTTTAATAAAACAAAATGTGATTCCATTTTCTGTTCCTTAGAATATGCTGTGTGTGTTTGGTGTAGTGTTTTTGCCACACATTTTCTCACGGGTGGAAAATGGTGGACTCACAGACATATTTTCCTTGAGCCTCCCAGTGCTGGGAGCCCCTGTTAGTGCAAACGGCTAACACAGAGGTGCCTCAGAGGAAAGGCCTGGCAATCTCCTTCTGAAAAATCAGCCACTGAGGATCCCATGGGGCACAGTTCTCCACCGATGACCCCAAAGGGTACGTTCCCCCTCCACTGAGGACCCCATGGGACATGGTCCTCCACTGTGGACCCCGTGGAAGACAGCTTTCCTCCACCGAGGACCCTGCAGGACATAGTCCATCTCCACTGAGAATCCTGTGGGGCACAGTCCTCCACTGCGGACCCCACAGGGCACGGTTCTCCACTGTGGACCCAGTGGAGGACCCTTCTCCTCCACTGAGGACCCCTGGGTGCACGGTCTCCTCTGATACACATGGAGCCACCAGGAACCAGAATCCACTCAATAACAAGTAGGCTCTCCACAACCCCTCCAAAGCTGGCTCGCACATTTTTTTTTTTTAAATTACCTGCCAACATTTGTTGTTGTTGTTGTTATGTGCCGTTGAGTGGGACCTGACTCACAGTAACCCTTCCTTGGGTTGTTGCCGAGGCAGTATCACTATGGAAATAGATTGCCCAACCTTCCTTCCAAGGAGTGGCTGGTTTAAATATTGGCAAATGTCAAATAAAAATTCACCTTCTTTGGAAAAATCAGGGTTAATAGCATTGACCTCATGCTTCTATATGCCAGCAATCAAAAGGCTCTGAGAAGTGCCTTCTTCAGATGGGGCACGTGCTCTTCCTTCCACCCATTCCTTTCCTCCTCTTCCCGATCCCCATCCCCACCCATTGCCTCCAATGAAGGAATTTGTGCTTGTGCCATTGTTGTTCTTTACATCTAGCCTGCTTCACCTATCTATGCTGCTCTCCCTGTGGGAAGCTGAATTCTGGTGATGCTTTAGAGAAGGTGGTACAAATCATCAGAAACTCTTCCCAAGTCGTTAGAAAACATGACTGAGAGGTGAGGGAGAAAAAGTTTTTGGAATCAAATCTATAAATTATCTTTCTTGCCAACTAAATACTTAAGGGAGTGGGAAAGGCACGTCCCAAAATACAATCAATGTCTAATAGGATTTCAGATCAACTTGTTCTGTAAAGGTGGAAGAGAAAACAGTGGAATGCCCAGAGAAAGCTCAGCTTCAGTACACAGAACATCCTCTTACAATAGGCATGAGAAACCACACAACTGGATGAGGAAGTAAACATTCCCACACTGAGAAGAAAGCAAGTTATGAAAAGATGGAAAGAAAAAAAAAAAAAAGAATCAAGGCAATGCAAGAGCTAAACTAATAATATTCATTTCTTTAAAAAAAACCCAAAAACTTCATAGGAGTTCTCTAGGCCTGCAGAGATAGTATTCCTGTTGTCTTCAACTACAGAGCACAACTTTTTATTATTCTTGTTTTTTGTTGCAATAGTTACCATCTTCTAAAATGTCGGAATAATCTTCAAAAACAATAATAGAGCTGGACCTTCCAGATCGCCCTTCATAAATTTCTTCATTCTTGGCAATTATTTTTTGCCTGTAAGGGAAGTGAAGATGTATTACTACAGACACAGAGGGTAGAAAAGGATATGGTATATTTGAAAAAAAACCAAAAAACTCACTGCCGTCAAGTCGGATCCAACTCACAGAGACCTCTCCTTGGGTTTCCAAGGTGGTATCACTACAGAAGTAGATTGTCCAACCTTCCTTCCGAGGAGTGGCTGGTGGGTTTGAACTGCCAGCCTTCTGGTCAGCAGTCTAATGCCTTAAGCTTAGGATATTTTGGGAGAGATAAATGTGGCTTCATTTCTTTACTTGGGGGCAGTGTTTTTTTTAATTTAGTGAGATAATTGTATCTGGATGACAATTTCTCATTTTAGGAGTTTCACACTAAATCAATACAGTGAATAACTTTCCTTTATTAAAATGTTGGTCCAAATTGATTTTAAATGATTTGAGATGCATCTTCAGGGAATAGTATAATTTTTGACCTAAAGTTGATTTCTACAGGAACCAGATATAGCTTTATCTAAGGGCAAGCCAAACCAAAAACCTAATCTGTTACCGTGAAGTTGATTCAGACTCATACATTACAGAACCGAACTTTTTATGGTTTTCCTGGCTATGATCTTTACAGAAACAAATTCCCAGACCTGTCTTCTACAGCACCGCTGGGTGTGTTCAAACCACCAATGTTTTGATTAGTAATCAAATGGAAACCATTTGTGCCACCCAGGGACTCAAAGGATAAGCCACTGACCCCTAAACCACAAATTCTCGGGGGAGATGACTTTTAAAACAACCCTCAGACATCACAGAAGAAATAAACTTGGGGCTTGTAGATGAGTCTTGTGTGTTGTTTTGCATAAAAACAGAGACACAGAGAAGGGAGAGAGGTCTAGACACATCCCTGTTCCTCCTCAAATGAACTGTGTGACCTCAGTCCAGCCAACTTCTGTGTCCAGGGGCAGAGTGATGTACCTGCCTCCCCAAAGTGTCTGTGCCTTGATAGCACTGGGGAGTACCTGGGCTCATCTTCATCACCTACTCCCTCATTCAAACTCCCTCCCACCTCCTAAAGGTAACTCAGCTGAGTCTCTTTGAGCAGAAGCATCCACACCTTAGTCGCATGTTTTCTTGAGTCAGGGTCTGTATGGTGTACTTATACTTTTCCTCAGCTTCAGCAAGCTTGACCTGGAGTGTTTTCTCTAGATTCAACACTGTAGCTTTCTGAAAGACAGATAGATTTTAAGAATGATCTTTTCCAGATAAGCACTATCTGTGGGGGAGCAATATGGCAGAGCTGAAACCACGTCTGGGTTTTCTCCCACCAACCCCCACCCCACTTCAGCCAGGACTCACTTCTCTCTGAAGTTCCGTCTGGGTTTGGTAGAGAGTCGTGTTAAGTGATTCTAGGATAAAAGCTTGTGCATGCAACTCTTCCTTCATGATCTGTGTAAAAAGACACTTTTTCAGGGCACCTGGATTAGAATCTAAAACATCAAATTCAACTGCCCTTCTCCTGCATCTCTCACAGCAACTAGTCACCATGCTCTATTAATTCCACTCCATCAATGTCTTGTCTGTCCATACCCTTCTCTTTCTTCAGTCTCACTGTCATGGTCCCTGAATCAGCCCTCAGTGGAACTCACACAGGTAGTTACAATGGTGATTCTTTGAACAAGTATTTATGAAATACTACTGCACACAACCTTGCTTGCGGAAAGTGAAGGTGACTTGAAGCACCTACTGGTGAAGATTAAAGACTACAGTCTTTAGGATGGATTCCATCTCAACATAAAGAAAATGAAAATCTTCATAACTGGACCAATAAGCAGCATCACGATAAATGGAGGAAAGATTGAAGTTGTTAAAGATTTCGTATTACTTGGTTCCACAATCAACACCAATGGAAGCAGCAGTCAGGACATCAGAGGATGTATTGCATTGAGCAAATCTACTGCAAAATACCTCTTCAAAGTGCTGAAGACTAAGGTGCACCTAACCCAAGGCACTTGAGTGCTAACCAGAAGGCTGGTGCTTCAAACCCACCAGCCACTCCTCAGAAGGAAGATAGGGCAATCTACTTCCATAATGATACTGCCTTGGAAACCCAAGGTGGGGTCACTATTAGTCAGATCCGACTTGACGGCAATGAGTTTTTTTTTAACCCAAGCCATGGTATTTTCAAATGCCTCATATGCATGTTAAAGCTGGACAATGAATAAGGAAGACAGAAGAAAAACTGATACTTTTGAGTTGTGGTATTGGCAAAGAATACTGAAAGTACCATGGACTACCAGAAGAACTAACTAATCTGTCCTGGAAGAAGTGCAGCTGGAATGGTCCTTGGAAGGGAGAATGACCAGACTTTGTGTCACCTACTTTGGCATGTTGTTGAAGGGACCATTCCCTAGAGAAGGATATCATGCTTGGTAAAGTGGAGGGTCAATGAGAAAGGGGAAGGCCCTCAACAAGATGGACTGACACAGTGGCTGCAACGATGGGCTCAGGTGTAGAGAGGATTGTGAGGCTGGCGCAGGACTGGAAGGTGTTTCATTCTATTGTACACAGGGTTGCTATGAGTTGGAGCTGACTCGACGGCACCTAACAACGACAACAACTGCAAAAGGCACCAGAAATGTTATGGTGAACAAGATAGATATAATTCCTGCCCTTGCGGAGTGTACATTTTAGCGAGGGAGATGGTGAAAGATTAAATAAAATAATTACAATAATAAACTGATAAAGAGGAATAAAGGAAAAAATAACAGGGATGAAGATAGAGGACAGGTATATGAGGGACGGGAAAGGGTGAGTTTGGAACTTAGGTAAGTCAGAGAAGGACTCTCCAAGGAGGTAAGATTTATACGGAAAACTGAAGAATGAAAAGGGGATTGTGCAAATACCCTAAAAGGGCAAAGAGCTCAGTGTTTTTGATCACCTGAAGGAACACTAAACCAAAAAAAAAAAAAAAACAAAATAAACCTCACTTCTGTGGCATGGCTAAAAGAGCTAGCAGAACAGCAGGCCAAGGTGAGGACATACAGGCCTTGGTGATCTAAGACAATGGGGTGCCATTTAAGGGTATAAGACAAAGAAGGGTTATACTCTATTTACATTTAAACAACACTTGCTGTTCTGTGGAAAACTGGTTGGAGGGTGGCAAGAGAGAAAGCAAGGGCTGCTAGCAACAGTGAAATAGCAACAGAGCTAGATGAATTTGTAATATGTTACAGAGGTAGTGCCAATACCGACAGATTGATGTGGAGGTAAAAGAAGAGAAGAAATCAGTGATAGCTTTTCGGTTGAGCCTTGAACAACTGGTTGGTGATAGTATCTCTGGGGAGCTGACAATTGTAGGGGATCATATTTTCAGGAAAATCAAGAGTATGGAGTTTGACATGTTAAGTTTGAGATGTCTCTAAGCTCCAATGTAGAAATGTCAAATGAGCAATTGTATACACAGCCTAGAGCTCAGAGGAGAGGGCTAGGATGTAACTAGCAATCGTGGGGTTGTCAGCACAGAAATAACATTTAGGTCTAAATGAATGAATGAAATCACCTAAGGAGTAAGGGAAGATAAATAAGAAAAAGGGGCCCTACAACCAAGCCCTGAAGCATTCCAAGATTTAGCAGTTAGGTAGCAGATGAGGACCCTGCAAAGAAGATGGAGGAGTGAACAGTGAGATAAAAACAGAAGCCTATACAACAACAACATGGAAACCAAGAGCAGTGAGTGTGCCAAGGAAGGAGTGATCAATTCTAACTGATACTACTAAAATCAAGTGAAGTGAGCTATTCCTTAGATTTGGCAACTAGGAAGTTACTGGTGATTTTAATAAGAGCAATTTCAGCAGATAGGGTGGGAGCAAAAGCCAGGTTGGGGTGTAAATGGGCGGTGAACCTTCTAACAGGTTCTCCTCACCTTATTTCGCCTTTTCAGACTGTCCTCCACATTGATGCCAGAGTTCTCTTCCTAAATGATACCCTTTCCTCAAAAACCTCCACCTCCAGTGGCTTTGCATTATCTAGAGAATTCAATCCAGATTCCTTACGATAATGAATGGTTTAGTTAAGGGCATGTGTCAACCAAAACCAAACTCACTGCCATTGAGTCAATTTCAACTCATAGCAACCCCCAATGAGTTTCAAAGGCTGTAAATCCTTATGCAAGCAGACCACTTCATATTTCTTCTGTGAAGCAGCTGGTGGGTTCAGACTGCTGACCTTCTGGCTGACATGAGTACGCAGTTAGTAAAATCTTTTTTCCTTCTCTCTGGACAAATTGGATGTTGTGTTAACTTTCTGTTCTGTTTCCCTGAAACTTATGATAAATGTGGGAAAACCTAACACACAGGGTATTGAGTATTCAGAACAATATTACTTCAGTAGTTGAGGAAAAATTGCCCTATATTATAGGCTGCTTTGAGGAAGCTTAAAAGCAAGGCTTTATCTGTTTCCAAGTAACTTAATTGCATTCTAGAACAATGCTCAAGAATATTTGAAGGAATATAAAAATATTCAGCTTCTAAACCCAAACAAATCAAACCCACTGCCACTGAATCAATTCTGACTCACTGTGACCCTGTAGGATAAGATATAGCTGTCCTACACGGTTCCAACACTGTAAATCCTTTGGAAGCACACTACCACATCTTACTTCTGTGGAGCAGCTGGTGGGTTTGAACTACTGACTTTATGGTCAACAGCCAAGCAGTTTAACCACTGTGTCATCAGGGATCCCTAACAAGGGCTCCCTATCAGCATCTAACAAGGTAATATTCATAATGTCTGGCATCCAATAAGAATTACCAGGCACGTAAATAAATAGGAAAAATTTCCATAAATGTAGAGAAAAATCAACCAATAGAAATAGAACCAGAAATTACATAAATGAGAGAACTAGTAGATAAGCTCATTAAAATAATTAATGTAATAAACTGGGTCTACCTGGCTTCAAAGCCCATTCCTCTATCCTATGTTGTTGTTGTGTGCCGTCGAGGCGGTCCCGACTCATAGCAACCCCTCCTTGGGTTTCCGAGGCAGTATCACTACGGAAGTAGATTGCCCAGTCTTCCTTCCGAGGAGTAGCTGGTGGGTTTGAACCGCCAGCCTTCTGGTTAGCAGTCAAATGCCTCTATCCTATAGAACATCTTAATTTGTGTGATCGACAGGCTGATACTGCCTGCACAGACAACATTCTACGCCTTTGTAAGCGACAGATCTTTTTCCAAGCATGTGGATTTCTGTATCCAAATAAAATTCCCTGCAAAGGAAGAACCACAGGCCATTTGTGGGTTGGAACAGCTTCCTTGCAGTCATCACCCACACGGAAACACCATAATTTGTCCTAGAACAGATTCCTTTGAAGAAGCTGTTATTTCTGAGGCAGCATTTCGAGGAGAGGTTTGGAGACAGAATTTGTCGAGGAAAATTGTACTTTTCAGAGCTCCAAGGGAAGAACCTGGCATTTTACAACTCAAGACCCTTCAGTAGTTTGGGCCTTACTAGGAATGGAAGGTATTAGACACTGAAAATCATAGTACGCTTCTGTATATTTATTCACATCTGCCTCTAAAAAATGGTTTTGTTTTACAGACAGTTTTAAAATCCAGAAAACCCAGCTTAAGTTTTCCATTTTTTAATAGTCTTAGTAACATGATCATAGATTCCATTTTACTGAGAGTATATCCTTTTTCTAATGTATTTGTCGCCATGAGTCGGGGCCGACTCGACGGCACATAACAACAACAATGTATTTGTAATTCCACAGGAAACATGGAAAAGCCTACCTCTTGGGTCTTTGTCAGCTCTTCTAATTTCAAGGTGTCACTTTCATGTTGTTTTAAGAACTCCTAAAATAAATAACATTATTTGGAAAAGATCAGCAATTGCTTAGAGGTAGTTCTGGTAGTCTGAGGCTGACTCTAATGGTTATAGAATCTTGCCTCTCTAATACCATTGCTTCTACCTTCAGTGAACTTTCAGTGCACATAAAAGGTCAGAGAGCTGGTTGGGGCCTGCTTGTTCATGCATGTTTCGTTATTAATGTCCATATGGATCGAAAATTTTAGTAGAATTTAGTCTGAAACCTGCTTTCATTATAATCTAGTATCAGTATCAAGGTTGTGGGGAAATGGCTAACAGGGGGCAGTGAACTCACCCACTTCTAACTTTTATTTAGTAGCTACTCTTATGTGCTTCACCAAAGCTACCATTAAAGATGAGAAGGACCTTCAGTGACTGGGATTTTGGCTGAATAATTTCCAGTTCTGTATATGTTAAGTGTTTTTGTTAGCGGTAGTGGAATTGGACCACAACTCATGGCACCACCACATACAATGAGATTGGACAGTGTGGTCCATAGGACTTTCACTGGCTGATTTCTCAGCATAGATTGCCATCTTTTTCTTCTTAGTGCATCCTTTTTCTCGAAGCTCTGCTGAAACCTGTTTGGCATCATAGCAGCACACAGCAGATGGGTGGTGGCTCCCCCTGAGGAGCATTGGGTGGGAATCAAACCTGGGTCTTCTGCACGAAAGGTGAGAGTTCTACCACTGAACCACCAACATCTGATGCCTCTGATAGGAGACTGGGTGGTGCCAGCAGTTAGCATGTTCAGCTGTTAACCTAAAGCTGCCTTGGAAGAAAGACCTAGTAATCCACTTTGAAAAAGCAGCCACTGCAAACCCTATGGAGCACAGTTCTATTCTGACACACATGGAGTCCCATGGTTTTACTGGTATATGTTTAAAAAACCAAACTACTGCCATCAAGTTGATTCTGACTCATAGTGACTTTATAGGACAGGGAAGAACTGCCTCATAGGGTTTCCATGGCTGTAAATCTTTTACAAAAGCAAATTTCCTCATCTTTCTCCCATGGAGGAGCTGGTGGGTTTGAACCACTGGCCTTTTGGTTCACAGCCGAATGCCTTAATCACTGCATCACCAGAACTCCTTTGGTATATGTTTAGTATTCTTTTATTTCCTGTCCATTACAATTTTCATTCCAATAACTGCATGGTAGACCGTCTGGCTAAAGAACAGCATGACTGCCAATCTACTTGCATGTTATTTCAGGAACACTGGTAGCAAATGCCAATAAAGACAATAAAATTGCTTAAGCACAGAGGCACACCTGGGGACTCTGTGGTACCGCCTAGACTACCCATTCAACCGTCAGTGTACTTGGAGCTGAGTTACCTCTTTCTCTCGGTTGAAGTTCTCAAAAACAGCACTGTAAGACTCAGTTATTTTCTTCTTTTCTTCTTCTGACTCTAACTGAAACTTTTTTGTTATTCTATGCTCTGTAGAGGCAAGAGGAAAGCACACTTATGCACATGTAGGAAAAGCAGGTGCAAAGAGAAATTCAGAATATATGAAAAGAAATTCCAGACAAGGTCAGATTTACGGTCCCTTCAGCCCAGTGTTTGACGCTTACCTGGAGATGCTTACGAGTAACATAATCATGTGTTTGTCCTCAATTACATTCACCCTATGGATTTGGCTGAAACATCTGTTTCTTTTTTGTATAGTTTTGGATCTGATGCTCATTATTTCATTATTTTGCCCTTTCTGTCTGCTGAAGTAACCACTATGCTCTTTGGATATCCTTCTTTTAAAATAAAGCTCTTGACTAACATAAAATTTAAAGCATACTTTCTAGCGATACAATTCATTCTGCACTTGGCACTGGGCTTAAACTGTTTTTCTGGGTGGGGAAACCTGCCAGCAGAGCCCAAGTACTAAGCAGGAGGAAGTAGGAGTGAGGGGCAAACATAAATGTCTCAGGGTCATGGTTCTGAGGAAGGATAGGGGATGGTCTATGCTGACACCCAAAGAATGGACTAAGTTACCTTATGAGCCGCTAAATTCTCATCTTTCAAAACCAGCAGTAACATCTTCAGTTAGCCTTTCATAACATGTGATGAGTGTAGCTTGAGTAGTTGGAAGTCTGGGGAATAACCCAGATTATGCTGCACCAGGATCCCAAGTAAAGCCTCAGATATAAGGCTTTCCATTCCCCAATTCTGCATCCAGGGTCTCCATGCTACCTTCTGACAGTCCAAGGTCTCCACAGGATGCTAATGGCCTCGAGGATTCGCTTTCTCAGGGAATATCTACATTTAAATGAGCAATTTGCTAAAACCAACTAAATCTCTGACATGAATGGGGTGGGATAGGGAATACCTTTGTAGATACCTCAACTAGTCTCCTAGGCCAGGGAAGAGAATTTACATTCCTTTCCATTTATGAAGCTCAGTGGGAATGGGAGGTACAACTGCAAAGCACTTTGTATGACCAAAATTCTATGTTAAGAATTAGCCATATTGGTTCAATAGACCTTGGTGGAACCCCAGAGACTATGGCCCCTAGCTGCCCTTCAGGTGTGGAATTGAACCCACTCCTGTGGCTTCCAGCCAAACAAAAGATAGGCCTATGAGCTGAACATTTACATTAGGTATATACACTCTGGTAGCATAGTGGCTAAGGCACTTGACTGCTAACCAGAAGGCTGGCGGTTCAAACCCACCAGCCACTCCTCAGAAGGAAGATGGGGCCATCTACTTTCGTAGCGTTACTGCCTCAGAAACCAAGGAGGGGTTGCTATGAGTCGGGTCCAACTCGATGGCACATAACAACAACAACTCCTTGGAGAGATCAAGCATGGGAGAAGAGAAGGTCTGTGTATGCACAGAGAGACAGCTCAGGAGGCAGGAGTGCATGGGAAGGAAGGACACAGAGAAGAGGTAACTATGGGGAGGAAGTGCAAGAGAGCTGTCACATTGTGGGAAATCGCAGTCAATGTCATGAGACAAAGTGTATGTGAGCTGCTATAAGGAAAATGAATTTGCTCTGTAAACTTTCACCCAAGTGACAATAATGATAATAATAATAATAAAAGAATTAGCAATATTACAATATTTGAGGTGAGATCTGGACACAAATAGATACACGCATCCCTATGTTCAGTGCAGAACCACTTATAATAGCAAAGAGATGGAAACAATTTAAGTGCCCATCGACAGATGAATGGATAATCTAACTACGGTACATAAACACTGTGGAATACTGCTCAGCATTAAAGAATAATGAAGAATTAGCAAATCACCTCAAAACATGGATAAACTTGGAGGACTTATGCTGAGTGAAATGAGTCAATTACAGAAGAACAAATATTGTGTGAACCCATTACCATCAAAAGTCAGGGAAGGGTTTTCACAGGGAAGGAAATTTCCTGTTGGTTGTCAGGGATGGGAGGAGAGAGGAAGAGATGGAAAATAGATGAATAATTAATAGATAGTTTTGATATGGGTGAAGGAAAAAGCAAAAAAAAAAAAAAAATACATATCAAACATGGCTCCATTTTGAGGGGTGTGGTGGTACAGAAGTTCTCAGTATAATGGATTGCATTCCCCCAACAACTGAATATTTAAAACTCTAATTCAGAAACTCCTGGAAATTTGGGGTTACCTATATGAAGATGGGAGCTCTGGTAGCATAGTGCCTAAGGCACTTGACTGCTAACCAGAAGGCTGGCGCTTCAAATCCACCAGCCACTCCTCGGAAGGAAGATGGGGCAATCTACTTCCGTAGTGATACTGCCTCAGAAACCCAAAGAGGGGTCGCTATGAGTCGGGTCCGACTCCATGGCACATAACACCACCAACAACAACATATGAAGATAGCAAGTCTACATGCCTACCAATGTCCCCACACTTGTTTCAGCCAATAGGGGAAAACCTGGAACCAGTGAGTTTGAGGTGGTGCAGGTTTAAGACTCAATTGGCTGAACTCCTAAAAGATCCCACCCTTGTTGCCATTTTGCTTTCTTGAAAACTCCAGGTACCTTCCATCCAAGAATTCAGCCTTATGGCCTCACTGCCCTCGGTAAACCCAGGGTCATTTCCCTCAAGTCTAGGTCAAACATAATGGCAGGTTTTGATACACCTATCAATATAATCCAGGGAGTTCTTGTGGTATAGTGCCTAAGGCATTTGACTGCTAACCAGAAGGCTGGCAGTTCAAACCCTCCAGCCACTCTTGGGAAGGACAATCAACTTCTATAGACATACTGTCTTGGGAACCCCAGGAGGGTCTGTATGGGCCGGCATAGGCTGGATGGCAGTGATCTTGATTTTTTACCAACATAGTCCAGAAGTTAGCACGCTCACTCTGCTGTAACAGGATCTTTTCCCGCTCCAACTTCTCATCCTTCTCCCATTCTGCCTTCCGCTTCGACCACTTATCTTCCATTTCATCATAAACGCTGTCCTGTGGAGGCACGAAGACATCATGAACAAAACCAAACAAAGAAACAACCCAATGACAGGCCCTATAGAGGCTGTAATCTTACACTAAGGAAGGGCCCTGCCGCACGGCGCACTGGCCCATAGCCCTGTGCCCTTTTCCAGCCTCTCTCACTGGGGCCCTCAATGAAAAAGCCCTGTGTGGGTGACTCGTTGTGGGAAGAATGTCCAGCCCAGCCCAGCTGAGAGTTTGGGGGCCTAGCAGTCAAAGGCAAACAGTGAGCCGGCACTGGGCTTCCTCTGAAGACAGGTAGGGTTCTCCATGTTGCAGTGCCATTTGTCAGCTCCCCTTGAATTCACTCACTCATCAAAGCACATGGAGGAGTAAGGGATATTTCACCTAGTAGTGAATCTGAATATTTAGAGAACAATGAGATGTTTTTCAGAGGGTCTAATTTTTCTCAGCAAATCTAACATCCTTTGTGGTGTTGTTGTTGTTATGTGCCGTCGAGTCGGCCCCGACTCATAGCAACCCCTCCTTGGGTTGCCAAGGCAGTATCACTACAGAAATAGATTGCCCAACCTTCCTTCCGAGGAGTGGCTGGTGGGTTTGAACTGCCAGCCTTCTGGTTTGCAGTCAAGTGCCTTAGGCACTATGCTACCAGAGCTCCCAACATCCTTTGTGGTTGAGGTTAAATCAGCCTAACCCACTGCCAGTTTTGTTAGTTGGTCCAGACTTCATGAGCACAAGACACAGGAGGGTGCGAGGCCCAGGACCTGGGCACTGCCACTATAGTCTGAAGGCCCTGAATCCCCTTCCTTTTCAGTTTTGCAGCAGGACTCAAACCAGACTCAGGGCACCTGTAATCACTTGTAATTGTTCGTCGCCATTTATATGCACTTTCTCTTTCATAATTTTTAAGACAGGTGGGCAGCTCATTGCCCCAATGTGATCAAACTCTCTAGGTAGGCACAGTTTGAAGCAAGCCCAGAGTACACCCTGGAAACTGAGGCAGCCTCCCGGGTCATAAACCTGACAATTCTCTTAGGCTTTGCCCTGGGATGTTTTCCCTGATAGTATAAAGATGCGCCTTGAAAAAATGAGTTTTAGACACAAGATCAAAACTGAATCTGTGTGATAAACAAAATTTCGGAGGTGGGGCTGCACTTTACTTAACAATTAAGTGGTTGGGATCTTGACCCTCAGCCCTTCCCTTCCCACTCCCACTGCCCTTAGTAATAAATCATGCCCTAACTCTGTTTCCCTGGGCCCCCATCGATTTAGTTAAGATTAAATGAATGGATTATGCTCTAAGATGGCTGGGGAACATGCCAACACCCTCCTTGTGAGGGTATCATGCTTGGTAAAGCACAATGATGCAGCCTTTTTTGGATGACAGTAGGGCCAAATGTATCAAAGGCCTTAAAAGTGTTCATTCTTTTTGATATAGCACTCTACTTCTAGAATCAAAAGCTACCAATTTGAAGATGTTGAAAGTAACATTACTTCTTATGGCAAACAATTAGAAAGAACTCAAATGGCCAACAGTAGAATACTTAAGTACTAGAAGGGACTTCCATTAGGATAATCCCAAAGCTGTTGAGTTGGATCCAACTCATAGTGACTCCTCCTTGGGTTTTTGAGGCAATATCACTACAGAAGTAGATTGCTCAACCTTCCTTCTGAGGAGTGGCTGGTAGGTTTGAACAGCCAGCCTTCTGATTAGCAGTCAAATGCCTTAGGCACTATGCCACCAGAGCTCCTAATTAGGATAATATCTAGTCATTAAAAAGGAGAATCTAAGTTTATTAGTGATTGCCAGGGTCTGGAGGGAGGAAGAATGGGAGAGTTATCACCTAGGGGACACTGAACTTCTAGTGATTAATATTTGGAAACAGATTGTGGTAATGGTTGCACAACATAATGAACATGACTGAATTGTACATGTGAAAAATATTGAAACGATAAAAATTTTGTTATATATCTATATCTATATATACACCACACACACCAAGCAGGGGAAGAAAACTCTGCCCTGTCGATTCTGATTCGTAGTGACCGTATAGGACACAGTAGAACTGCCCTAGAAGGTTTCAAAGGCTGTAATCTTTAGGGAAGCAGCCTGCTATAGCTTTCTCCCATAAAGCAGCTGGTGGATTCAAACAACTGACCTTTTGGTTAGCAGCCAGGCGCTTTAACCACTGTGCCACCAGGGCTCCTTCTATATCTATACATATACATACACACACATATATTTACCACAATAAAAAAGAAGAGAATAATATCTAGTCATTAAAAGGAGGGGAAATTTTCTGATATGCCAGATGAAAAGAGGATATAAAAGTACACAGAGAATGTGCTACTGTTGTTAGGTGCCATTGAGTCAGTTCTGACTCACAGAGACCCCGTGTACAACAGAAGCCAACACGACCCAGCCCCGCTCCGACCTCACAATCACTGCCATGGTTGAACCGTCGTTGCAGTCACTGCAACCGTGCCACGCCATCTTGTTGGGGGTCCCCTTTCTCCCTGACCCTCTACTTTACCAAGCATGATAGCCTTCTCCAGGGATGTGTGCTTTCTGACGTGACTCAAGTTCTAGAGACGGAGTCTGGCCATTCTTGCTTTTAAGGGGCATTCCACTGTACTTCCTTCAAGACTTGTTCATTATTCTAGCAGTCTATGGTACACTCAGTATGTACCATGTCTGACCCAGGCTTTGGTATTTTCAGTAGCCTCATATGCATATGACAGCTGAACAATGAATAAGGAAGATTGCAGAACTGAAGCATTTGAATTGTGGTGTTGGTGAAGAATATTGAATCACACACATAGAATATAAGCTACAGTTTTTAAAAAGCACAAATATTAATAATGGTTCTCTTTGGGTAGGTATTTTCTTTGTTCTTCTTTTTTTTTTTGCTGTTGTTGTTGTTGTTTTTTAATTTCCATTTTTTAAAAATGACAAACAAACAATGAGCTTGCATTACTGTTGAAAATATTTTTCAAGAGACCACCTTAAGGTCTAGGGAACTGACTTGTCCTACATGGAAGCCATCACAGTCTGAGGCTGACACTTCTTCCAGAGAGCAGGTGGCACCAATTAGTTGCAAGGAAGCTGGGAAACTAGGGGAATTATTTTCTGTGCAAGAGCTCTAGACTCATACCAACGTCATCAGCCAGGATTGACCCTGTTGCTCTTACTCTCATCGTCCATCAGGGGGCACTGGATCTCACCTGATACATATGAAACATATTCTTCAAATATTTGTATTCCTTTCCCATCTCCTCTGGACAAAAGGAAAACAACAACAGGTCATCAGTAGTCCTCTGATAGGCGGATTTTAAAATTCAAGTGTGAGTTCCCTTGCATACTTTCTCCACCTCAAACTCATCTCCTAGCCAATGAAACCTAGGTGTGCCTCAGAAATCACTCAGGAAACTCATGAGAAATGCAGATGTGCGGACCCCAGCCTCAAACCTTCTGAATTGATAATCTCAGGGAAAGGCCCAACATCTGTTGACAATATCCTTTGCAGCGATTCTGCTATATGCCAAGTTTGAAAGCCAACCTGCAGGGGTAAATCTACGTCTGTGGGAAAAAGGAGAGCAAAACCTCGCAGCTTACCTCTGCATGTCTCTTTTTAAATAACATTTTCTAATTTACTTTGATTATGAAAACAATAACGCTCTCTTTAGAAAACTGGGAAATCAGCAAATTATAAATAAGATAATATCTTTAAATTTAAGGCAAAATGAAAGGTTATAGAATCTTTTCTTGCCCTGTGGTGATTCATCTATGAACCCTAATTTTTTTTTAAACCCTAAAGTTTGCAGGATATACACTTTGCCCTTCCCAAAGGCTGCAATAATATTGGGATAAACGGCCATAGTGTGTCAGCTGGAATTTAATGACATAATCATTTTACAGGTGAGGATACTTGTTGAACTGTAATCGTATTCATTTATATTTGTACAACTTTAAAATATACTATTAAAAATGACCTCACATTCTTATTACTCTGATATGGGCAGGTATTATTATCCTCAGTTCCTAGATGGGGAGCTTGAGACTCAAGGAGATTAAGATACTTGCTCCGATCCCAAGACTTGGCCTAGGCCTGTCCATCTCCCAGGTGTGAGAAGAACATGCCAGAGTGGATTTCCCTTCTTCCAGTTTCATTCTCAGACACTTTCCCCCTAAGCTTCAGGAGGAAACAGTGAAAGACTGGCCCTAGCCCATCTTCTGCCAGGGCTGCCCTGTATCTAGATCCTCATGGGCGGCCTCTTGCTCTTTCACTCAGTTATGCCTCCCAGGCCCCCAACGTACCCAGCTTCGCCTGGGCAGCCAATCTCTCTGCCTTCAAGGTTGCTTGGTAGTTTTGTTCCAGTTCACTGAGCTCTGTTGCATGAGCCTCCTTAAGCTCCCTATGGAAGCCCGAGAAGGCCAAAATCATCAGCAAAATATTCATTCACCCTCTCCCACCCACCTCCTTCTCCCTCACGCTCTCTTTGCATCATCCCTCCACAGAGGTGTGAGAGAATCCCTGTTTCTTTATTTGTTTGTTTAACAAAAAACTGTTTTGAACAGAGCTGGTGAAGTCCAGGCCAGCCCTCAGCAGGGAGCACGGTCTTAGCCCAAGACTCATAGCAACCCCCACTGGGTTTCCAAAGCTGTAAATCAGTACGGAAGCAGACTGCCTCATCTTTTTTCCATGGAGTGACTGGTGGGTTTGAACCACCGACCTTTTGGTTAGCACCTAAATGCCTTAACCACTACACCACCAGAGAGCCCAAGATATCTCCAGCCTCCATTTCAGGAGGCAGATGCTGGCAGTGTTCAAGTTGAGTGTTAAAATGAATGCCTATGACTCTTTCCCTCCACCAGAGTTTTTGAGCCTGCACTGGCATCAGTAGGTAGCTGGAAGGGGAAGTTGAGATTTGCCTTACCCACACACGCAACACAACCCCTTTTATTTTCTCCTTGGTTTGTCTTTGCTGTTCTGGCTGCTGTCCCTCCCATAGCTTCTTCCCATTTTGCAACCGGAAAAAGTAGAGGTGGGAGGAGGAGGATGGAGGGGGATGGAGGGGGATGGAGGGGGAAGGCTGAGAACAGCAGCTGTGTACCACAGAACGCTCGTAGAGAACACACAAAGGAAATGACTCTTTTCAACAACCAACAGCAATAATAAACAAAAAGATATCGGAATGAAATAAAATAGTTGGATGAGAAAATGTAAAAGCAGAAATAACACTGGTGCTACACTTTAGTGGCCTCGGATCAAGTCATCCTGCTCTCCAAGGACACATACCTCATGTCCCTCAGCTCTTGCCCCCAGACCCCATTTAGCACTGCTGGAGTTTCAGTGAACTGAAATCTACAAAGGATGCAGAAGCCTAGGGCCTTCAACACACAAGGACTTGAACCAGAAAGCATACCTGTTCTTGTTTTCGAAGTTCTGCTGCATCTCAGCACACCGGATTTCCATTTCACTGGAGAGCTGGAGACGAGACCTCACATTAACCCAGGAGGGAGGCCCTCTGCTCCAACCTGCATCTTCTGAGAAGTCTCTCTACTCATAGAACACACCCGGCTCCCCACACCTCTTCCATTGTGCTCTGTGGTGCCCAGAGAGCCCATTGCTACTGAGATAATGGAACTATTCTTGCTTTGTCTATGATCTTTTGAACTTAGTTCATAATGTTGGTGCACAGAAACCATCTCTTTGACTTGCTGGGTTTGTGGGTGGGTCTCTGCGATGTCCTCTGCTAGACTGGAATCCCTTTGTAAGATTGTGGTCTTTGGATTCTTGGGTACTTGATTAAATTGAACAATCATTTGTTGGGCAAAGGACTTTGCCTGGAAGCGCCAATGAGGACTAAGGCTCCCTCCCTGCCTTCATTGAACTTAAAATCCAGTGTTAGCAAGTCCTTGTTGACAGAAAGAATGGTCATGTTTTAGCAAGTAGCATTTGCTCACTTTCTGATGACCCTCCATTTTAACATATCAGAAAATTCTGGCCAGTGTCTCAGGAAGAATGGAGATTCTAAAACCAGGAAGTGGTCACAGTCACCTAAGCAAGCATCAGGGCTTGTCCTTGGGGCTCCTCCCTTGTGCTGGGGAGGAGTCACACTTTGGGGAGCCAGGGACCACCTGGCATAACCAAGGGGCCAGCCCCTGCAGCTCCAGACAGCGACTGCCACAGTGGTGGATAGCACCCCGCTCTTCCATAGGATCACATAACAAAATGCAGTGTTCACAGGAAGGAGAATTTTAAGGCTCACAATGTAGGGTTCCTTCCATGGAAACTGTCTTTACATATATCTTTAGCATAGCATGGGCTTAGTGGGTCAAAAGGTCCATCTTGTCCAAGCCTACCACTGATGAGCTGAGTGAGCTTATGTAAATTATTTAACTTCTCTGACCCTCAGTTATCTATGGAATGGAGACCATATACCTTGCAGGGTGTTAATATAAATAGGACAATGAATCACACACTGAGGCCTATATATATATACAATGACCCAGGTTATATATATATATATATATATATATATATATATATATATATATAACCTGGGTCATTGTAGAATTCAGACAAGTCTGGGGCATGTCAGAGGATGGGGGATAGGCCTGTCAGATGTTGGGGAAGTAGACCCTCACAAGTGGGTTTCAACAACAATAGGTCAGAGGAGGTTTCTGAGCTTAGCCTTGGTCTACAGCTCCAGCCCAGCCAACCAACCACTCTTGCCTGAGGTGAAATGTAAAGGACAAGTGTCATTAAAATCCCCAAGAAACAGAGTGCAAATTGCCATCCACAGATTCTGAAGTGTGGGCATTGGCAGCTTCAACAGCAACAGGAAGTGGGCACTGGAGGCTCTTGACACTTTTAAAGCAACGCCGGAAGCACTGACTGTGTTGGTGCCGTTAGTGAGAGGCTCAGCAAACTCTGGAATGAAATATACCACAAAGGCCATAACAGGCCAGATGGAGAATGACAGGCGCCCCTTGTACAGGGAGGACAGTGTCACTGAATGCACGGGAGGTACCTGGAGAACTTTCAGAAATAATTGAGTTTAATATAATATAAATAAATAAATAAATAATAAAATAAAAAGAAATAATTGAGTTAGGCCTTGAAAAGAAACTTGAATGAACTCTTGCAGTTATGATTGAGGATGGAGTCAGAGAAATAATATGGGGTGACCATGGTCCTATCTTTAGACCTGGACAATGTGGATTACATGAATAAAATGCTTGGCATCTAGCCTGGCATACAGAAGGTGATCTGAAAATATTAGTTGTCCCCTACCTATAAAGCTGTTGGCTAACTCAAAGGTCACTCACCAATTTTTGGGCAGACTGGTGGTCTCTGTTCATTTGCTCTATCATTGCTGTCAGCTCTGAGATCTGCTCTTCTAGGTCAGAAACGATGTTAGTCCTGCAGGACAAGTGATTCTGTCCTCATCCACAGAGCTTATCATCCCATGCAGCCAGGGCCCTGAAAGTGACGGCTCTGGCCTGGTGAAAACACATGCATCATCATGGGGTTGGGTTGGAGTGGGGGAGTGGTAGTCCAGGAGAAGGACTCGGCAGTAGGGTGGTTGAGCCTCAGACTGTCCTTTCGGGCAAGCTATGCAGAGTGAGCGGGGTGGGTTGGTGTCCTCTCGAATAGCAGGGAAATAGGAATATGTCAGAAATGTTTGGCCTTGATTTGATAATAATAGTTGAAATGAGGGTTGGAGGATTGGGAAAAAGAAGGTAGGGGAACAGGATTAATGGTGACAGCGATTCAGACAAGGAATGGACCAGCGATGGGACTAAGAGAGGATTTAAGAGAGAAACTTTAGGAACAGAAAACTGTTCTGTTTCTGAGTTTGGGGTCTCCATGATATCTGCAGATTATTCAGCTCTATCCGGCTGAGCAGGAGCTCTGGTAGCATAGTGCCTAAGGCACTTGACTGCTAACCAGAAGGCTGGCGGTTCAAACCCACCAGCCACTCCTCGGAAGGAAGGTTGGGCAATCTACTTCCGTAGTGATACTGCCTTGGCAACCTGAGGAGGGGTCGCTATGAGTCAGGGCTGACTCGATGGCACATAACAACAACAACAACAACAACATCTGGCTGAGCAGGAGTAGACAGGGTGACAGGCAATGCTCACGTGCAGTGGAGCTGAGAGGAGGTCCTCAATTCACAAGACTTTGACCCCTTTGACCAATCATTCACCACGTCTAACTGGGCACAGAGAGAATGTGGGATGAGCAAACAAGGGCAGGATCTAGGAAGGGAGGGTGCCAGGGTACAAGAAGTTGGATAATAGTGAATTCCTGCCTTTTGGCCGTGACCTTAAATATCAACGATGTCTATAAGCATGAACTATTTCTTATGTCCTATTTTGCCACAACTAGTGACAACTTCCTTAGAAGACCAAGAAATTGTGGTGCTACCTTGTCTGTGGGTGATGACCTATTTTCCTGCTGCAGAGAGTTGAAGGTAGGCAAGGGAAAGAAAACGGATTGAGCGTTCTGCTGGGTGGGAAGAAAAGGCTCAGGTCTGGCTTCTCTGGGCCGGGTCAGATCAGGGTGACTTCAGGGTCTGGAGTCACTCATGAGTAGGTTTGTGAGTCCTTCGGCCTCACCCCCAATCTGAATCCCTTTGCAGAAGTAACCACTGCTAACAGTTAGGGTGCATCTTTTCTATACACCACAAAACAAAAACCACAAAGCAAACCACTTGCCGTGGCATCAGTTCTGACCCATGGCGAGTCCGTGCGCCGGAGCAGAACTGGGCTCCAGAGGGTTTCCAGGGGCTGATTTTTCAGAAGGAGATTCCCAGGCCTTTCTTCCCACACACCTGTGGTGGCCTAGACCCTTCTACTGTTCAGTTTGCAGCCGAGCACTTAAACTGTTGCACCTCCTAGGACTCCATACACTAATAGGTAATAAATTCCTAATAAATTGTGTGTTTGTGTTTTCTGTTTTTGGTATTGGTCTTTTAGATTTCTGTCTTGGAAAGACAGTTCTCATAGCAAGCAAAATCCAGGAGGAAGAGACACCAGTTGGGAGGCCATTGCAGTAAGAATAACAGATGCCTTAAGTAAGGCAGGAGAGTGTTGTTATTGTTGTTGTTATGTGCCATCGAGTCGGACCCAATTCATAGTGGCCCCTCCTTGGGTTTCCGAGGCAATATTACTACGGAGGTAGATTGCCCAACCTTCCTTCCGAGGCGTGGCTGGTGAGTTTGAACTGCCAGCCTTCTGGTTACCAGTCAAGTTCTTTAGGCACTATGCTACCAGAGCTCCTAGGCAGGAGAGTAGGGAAGGGAATTTGAATGACGGATTTAGAAGGTGGAATAAAAGGTTGTGGTGACTGATATGACATTGGAGGATTAGAGAGTGGGTGGGGCTTGTATGACAGAGAGGATGGCCGGGTGCTCCACCTGGATGGAGTCAGGTTGTCCGTCATCTTCCACACTACAGCTCCTTAAGTAGTATCTTTGGACATAATAAAAAGAAGAGGTGCATACTCGGAATGGCCAGAAATCCTGACCTTACGTTTAATTCACATCCTCCAAATTAAAACTTTTTAAAGAACATTTTGTCTGTTTCTTTCCCTCAGGAAAAACTGCTCTCCATTAGTAGGAATGACATGACACCCAGTCATTTTTTGGATCAGCTGCCTGATTTGATCTTCATTTGCCCCTTGGATCTACTGACTAACAGGACCAGAGCAGAAAGAGGTGGGCGTGGAGGGGAGCAGATATGGCGAAACAGGGTGAGGTGTGAAGTGAGCTTGTAGCACCTTTACGGCAGGGACCCTGTGACCCAGGCATGGATGCCAGGGAGTTGTCTGAGAAGCCGGGCCAAGCCAGGTGGGGACAGCTTTTAGGAGCTGGATGTTGGTCCAAACATGTTACCTGGAAGAGTCTCTTTTGTCTTTTGATTCTGACTGTTTTTTTCTGTCGAACATCTCATCCCCTAAGGTGACAGAAATCTGCTCCCTGTTCCGAACGAGGCGATAGCCAGGTGATACATTGATCACTTCCTGTGAACCAAAGTGAAAGGTAAGATAATAACGCAGACGTGGAGTGCCAAGTTTCCTCCAGATCTTCTGTTATCCTTTAGGCATCTTATAAACAGAGGCAGGAGATGAAACTCCAGGGCCCAGTCCCTTCCGTGCTCTCCACCAGTTACTGTTCATCTTGTATCTTCAGCACAGATTTTTCTTTTGAGAATTAATCCCAATATTCAGCTGGTTCCTAGATGTCCCGTGTAACTGTTCTATAGGCCTTTCAGCTCAAAACGCGAAACTGAATCTTCAGCACCCCAGTCTGCACTCTGCCACTCAACCCTGCACCTCCTCCCAAGTCTTCATGGTAGCCAGAGGCCAGGAGGCAGCTGGGCATCATGGAAACCACTCAGGTGTGGGAATCAGACAGCCCTATCCATACTCAATATCTCTGTGCCTCAGGTTCCTCATGGGAAAAAGGTACCCTTCCCTGTTGTTGTTGTTGTTATGTGCTGACGAGTCAGACCCGACTCATAGCGACCCCTCCTTGGGTTTCCAGGAGGAAGAGACACAGGTTGGGAGACCATTGCAGTAAGAATAACAGATGCCTGAACTAAGGCAGGAGAGTGTTTTGTTGTTGTTATGTACCGTCGAGTTGGCCCTGACTCATTGCGACCCCTCCTTGGGTTTCCGAGGCAGTATCACTATGGAAGTAGGATTGCCCAACCTTCCTTCCGAGGAGTGGCTGGTGGGTTTGAACCGCCTGCCTTCTGGTTAGCAGTCAAGTGCCTTAGGTGCTATGCTACCAGAGCTCCTCCTGCCTGCTTATATATGTTGTTGTTGTTGTTGTTGTTTACCGTCGAGTTGGCCCTGACTCATTGCGACCCCTCCTTGGGTTTCCGAGGCAGTATCACTATGGAAGTAGGATTGCCCAACCTTCCTTCCGAGGAGTGGCTGGTGGGTTTGAACCGCCAGCCTTCTGGTTAGCAGTCAAGTGCTTTAGCCACTATGCTACCAGAGCTCCTCTGCTTATATATGTTGTTGTTGTTGTTATGTGCTGTCGAGTCGGTCCCGACTCATAGTAGGTAGTAAATGTTAGTCCCACTGTCCTCTCCCATGTTTACTCACATCTGGTAATTTCGTGCTCTCTTCTTGTTTTCCCAAATTGATTTTCACTCTGCAACGGGAAGGTTTATTCAGAACGCAACCAGCAAACAAAAGAAATTCAGAGCTTAGTAGCTACACCCTGAGCTTGCCTTCCAACTGACTTCTGTTCTCTAAGCTCCAGCCACTGATCTCTTTAGGGGATTCTCTGGGTGGCTGGGGAATCTACTGGCTCAGACCTTGGTGAAAGCCTCCTGCCCCAGGAGGCTAAAGAGTTGTCTTACTTATCACAGTGGGGGCACTTTTGTTTTGGGGGAGTGCAAGCCACCCCCCCACCACACACACACACACACACACACACAGTCCAGGGAACCACATGTATCCCATTTAATTAGAGAGTGAAGCATTGTGCCTTCTGGAAATCTCTAACATCCTGGCAACAATTAGTTCAAGAGAAGCAGGGCTGTGAAGGCCAAGGTGGGGACACTATTTACCTACATGCCTCAGACCATTCTTGCCACATAACAAGGGTTCTGGATAATGAAATGCATTAAGACATGAGAACATTTCATTTCAAACTTAAAAATTTCAAATCTTTATATATGCTTCATACAAAATTAATAACCACCACCACTGTCAGTAGCCATTGAATCAGTTCTGACTTGTGGCAATCCTGTGTGTGTCAAAGAAGAACGGTGATCCATAGGGTTTTCAACGACTAGGTCACCACCAATCCTTTCTCCTGAGGCACCTCTAGTTGGACTTGAACCTCCAGCCTTTCAGGTAGCAGTGGGCCATGTTTACCATTTGCAACATCTGGAGTGTCCACAGCAAACAATGTTGTTATTGCTGTTAGGTGCCATCGAGTTGGCTCTGACTCACAGTGACCCTCTGTACAAAAGAAGGAAACACTGCCCAGCCTGTGCCAGCCTCACAATCCTCACTAGGCTTGAGCCCATTGTTGCAGCCACTGTCCATCCATCTCTTTGAGGGTCTTCTCCTTTTTCACTGACCCTCTACCTCACCAAGCATGCTACCCTTTTCCAGGGACTGGTCCCTTCTGACAATGATCAAAGTACTGAGACAAAGTCTGGCCATTGCTTCTAAGGAGCATTCCAGCTGCACTTCTTCCAAGACAGATTTGTTCCTTCTTCTGGAAGTCCATGGAATTTTCAGTATTCTTCACCAACATTACAGTTCATATGCATCAGTGCTTCTGAGCTCTTCCTTATTCATTGTCCAGCTTTCACATGCATATGAGGCAATTGAAAATACAATGGCTTGGGTTAGGAGCATCTTTAAAGTGACATCTTCGCTCTTTGCACTTTAAGGAGATCTTTTGCAACAGATTAGCCCAGTGCAATACATCATCGGATTTCTTGACTGCTGCTTCCATGGACAATGGTTGTGGATTCAAATAAAATGAAATCTTTGACAACTTCAACCTTTTCTCCATGTATTGTGATGTTGTGAGGATTTTTAATATTTTATTTATTTAATTTTTTTATTTTACGTTCAACGTTACGGGAACACTTAGTTTCACTCGCCATTTACCATCCCCAACCCTAACCCAGTCTCCCCCTCTCCCTGCCCAGTAACACCGCCCCCCAGCTGCCCAGTGCCCCTCATAGCTATGCACTCCTGTGTGTCCTGCATTTCCTCCCTACGAATGTTGCCCCTCTGGTGCCCTGTGGTCTATTGCTCCAAGGGATGTGGGTGCTTCACCCTGGGTTGAGTGGCCTGTGTGTACATCTTGTTTACTATTGGGCTGAGAGCCAGCCCCAGGGAGTGAGTTTTATTCCAGGCCCAGAATGTATCCTAGGACCATAGTATTGCGGGTCTCACCAGACTCCACGCGACCAGGAATTCTGATCATTATTGAGATTTTGGATTTTGTTTAATGTTGAGGTACAATCCATACTGACGGCTGTAGTGTTTGATCTTCATCATTAAATGTTTCAAATCATCTTCACTTTCCGCAAGCAAGATTGTGTCATCTGCATATTACAGGCTGTTAATGACTCTTCCTCCAATCCTGATGTCGTGTTCTTCTTCACATAGCCCAGCCTCTTGGATTATTTGCTCAGCATACAGACTGAATAAGTATGGTGAAAGGATACAACTGTGACACATACCTTTTCCTGATTTAAAACTATGCAATATCGCCTTGTTCTCTCTGAATCGCTGCCTCTTGGCCTAGGTACAGGTTCCTCAAGAGCACAATTAAGTTTCCTGGAATCCCCATTCTTCACAATGTTATCCATAATTTGTTATGTTCCACACAGTCAAATGCCTTTGCATAGTCAATCAAACACAAGTAAACATCTTTCTTCTATCCTTTGCTTTCAGCCAAGATTCATCTGACATTAGCAATGACATCTCTCATTCCATACCCTCTTCTGAATCCAGCTTGAATTTCCGGTGGCTCCTTCTCGATGTAGTGCTGCAACCGTTTTTGAATTTATCATCAGCAAAAGTTTCCTTGCATGTGATATTGATGATATGGTTCAATGATTTCCACACTCTGTTGGACCCTTCTTTAGAATAGGCACAAAGACGGATCTCCTCCAGTCGGTTGGCAGGTGTCTTCCAAATTTCTTGGCATAAATGAGTGAGTGCCTCTGGCACTGAATAGTTTGTTGAAACATCTCAGTGGGTATTCAATCAATTCCTGAAGCCTTGTTTTTCACCTATTCCTTTAGTGCAGCTTGGACTTCTTTTCAATACCATTGGTTCTTGATTATATTCTGCCTCCTGAAATGGTTGAACGTTGACAAATTCTTTTTGGTACAGTGATTCTATGTATTCCTTCCATCTTCTTTTGATACTTTCTGCATTGTTCAATAGTTTGCCCATAGAATCCTTCACTGGAGGCTTGAATTTTTTCTTCAGTTCTTTCAGCTTGAGAAATGTCAAGCGTCTTCTTCCCTTTTGGTTTTCTAATTCCAGGTCTTTTCACATTTCATTATAATACTTTACTTTGTCTTCTCGAGTTGTCATTTGAAATCTTCCATTCAGCTCTTTTATTTTACCATTTCTTCCATTCACTTTAGCTATTTTTGGTTCAATAACAAAAGCAAGTTTCAGAGTCTCTTCTTGACATCCATTTTGTTCTTTTCTTCCTTTCCTGTCTTTTAAATGACCTTTTGCTTTCTTCATATGTGATGTTCTCAATGTCATCCATCCCACAACTTGTCTGGTCGTCAGTCATTGGTGTTCAATGCCTGAAATCTATTCTTTAGATGGTCTCTAGATTCAGGTGGGATATACTCAAGGGAAAATTTTGGCTCTCTTGGACTTGTTTTAATTTTCTTCAGCCTCAACTCGAATTTAAATATGAGCAATGATTGTCTGCTCCACGGTCTGCTCCTGGCCTTTTTCTGACTGATGATATTGAGCTTCTCCATCATTTCTTTCCATAGATGGAGTTGATTTGATTCCTGTGTATTCCATCTGGTGAGGTCCATGTGTACAGTTGCCATTTATGTTATTGAAAAAAGGTATTGGAATGAGTAAGCTGGCAGTCTTGCAAAATTCTATTATGTGGTCTCCAGTGTCATTTCTATCACCAAGGCCACATTTTCCAACTACCAATGCTTCTTCCTTGTTTCCAACATTTGCATTTCAATCACCATTAATAGTCAATACATCTTGACTGCATGTTTTTTCAATTTCAAACTGCAGAAGTTGGTAAAAATCTTCAATTTCTTAATCTTTGGCTTTTGAGGTTGGTGTATAAACTTGAATAATAGTATTAACTGGTCTTCCTTGTAGGCATATGAAGGTTATCCTATCACTGACAGCATTATGCTTTATGATAGATCTTGAAATTTTCCCTTTGCTGATTAATGTGACACCATTCCTCTTCAATTTATCATTCCTAGGATAGTAGAAAATATAATTGCCTGATTCAAAATGACCAATACTAGTCCATTTCAGCTAACTAATGCCTAGGATACTGATCTTTATGTGTTTCATTTCATTTTGACAACTTCTAATTTTCCTGGACTCATACTTCATACATTCCATGGTCCAATTATTAATGGATGTTTGCAATTGTTTCTTCTCATTTTGAGTTGTGCTACATCAGCAAATAAAGGTCCAAAAAGCTTTACTCCACCCACATCATTAAGGATGACTCTACTTTGAGGAGGCAGCTCTTCCCCAGTGGACATTTGAGTGCCTTCCAACCTGAAGGGCTCACCTTCTGGCACTATATCAGACAATATTTCACTGCTATTCATAAGGTTTTCACTGGCCAATTCCGTCAGAAGTGGATGGCCTTGTCCTTCTCAGTCTGTCCTAGTCTGGAAGCTCCACTGAAACCTGTCCACCATGGGTGACCCTGCTGGTATTCGAAATACTGGTGGCAAAACTTCCAGTATCACAGCAACACCCAAGCCACCACAGTGTGACAAACTGACAGATGACTGGTGGTGGCACATAATAGGTACCCAATAAATATCTTCCAAATAAAGGGGATACAAAAGTTCATGCAAAGGTTAAAACAAAGTGATATTCTAAGCTTGTAAAATGTTGGTAAACATCTAACTTGTGAGTTAATCACACATACACATACACAACAGAGATGAAACCTACAGACACATTAGACACAAGAAAGTAACCGGCAGAAGGGTGAGCACCACCGTAATAATTAGGGATCCTTGAGATTCCGCTCATGACATGCTCTGGGCACTGTGGCCTTTTTGGGGTGGAAAACATCTATGAAGCAACCTAGCTGAGGGCTCATTTGCAATGACTTGTAAGCTGCTAGTACAGGCAGCCATTGAGTCTACACATAGGATCTAAGATTTGGGGAAAATCTTGGTGCGTTCTGGAAATCTCTAATATACTGGTAACAATTAGTTCAAGACAAGCAGGGCTGTGAAGGTCAAAGGGGGGACATTATTTACCTACATGCCTCAAACCATTCTTGCCACATGGAAATAAAAAGACTTACTTTGGGACAAGAGGTTTTGTTGGTGGCGGGGAGTAACTGGGTGTTTTTGAAGCTGGGACAAGAGGAGTTAGCCTGAAAGTAAAAAATAAATAATTAAATGAAAATCCAGAAGTCTGTTTTAGTATCCCCAGATTAGGTATAGCCCTATAGATACTCTAAATTATGGACCCCAAATTGGAATTTATGGTCTGAAAACTGGAAATCTTTACAATCTGGACAGTTTTGGGGAACCTCAGACCCAAGTCTTTGGCACTTGTTCACTGTTCCGGGGAGTCGGGGATTGGCAGTGCAGTTAGCCCCAGGGCTCAACATTCTTCATCCCACATTGAGGCGACTGCTGCCTGTGTTTGGACGCTGTGCTCCCTATTGCACTGACTCTGACACTAGCAAGATCAATATGCAGACCATAGCTTGCAGGGAAAGCTTGGTAAAGCTAGGCTTTCTGGCCCACTTGGGATTTTGCTGCCAAGTTCATTGCTTTGGAAATCTTGTGAGAGAAAGAAGGCAGCAAATGGAACCCAAGTTCTTGGTCTTGTCCTATCCCAGAGAGTCCTTACTTGGACTTCCCTATGGAGGTCTTGCCTGGTGGCCGAGGGGTCTTGATTAACTTTCGTGGTCCCAAGTTCCAGGGGTCCCAGCAGGTGCAGTAGATAAGAGGATTGGGATACATGGTTCGAGGTCAGGGGCAGTCTTGGCTGGGTCAGGAAGCTCTTACTAAAACAACAGCAGAGGGTTAAACCATTCAGAGTCAAAACAGCAATACTTAGAGATAAATTGGGAAGGGCCCAGAGCACATACGTGGATTCTGAAAGTTGTTGAGCTGGTGCAGGTCTTGCCAATGGGATAACACCACTCCCCTTGCCAGCCAGCAGACTGAAAAGCAATTTAAAATTTGCCACAATTGAGTATTTACTGTGAATCTGTTTCACAGTAAATGCTCCATTACTATTATCCAAAATTTACAGATGAGTATACTGTGGCTTAGAGAGGACACAGAAGGAGCAATTTGCAGAACTGGGAATCTGAAGAAGGTCTGGGAGTCCCGGGGGAGTTGAGGCAAATGGGGTGGCAGGGAGGACATTCAAAGGCCTTTGAGCAGTGGTCACTGACCAACCACTATGGCAGCATTTCAATATTTCAATAGCTGTGCTTTCCAGCTGAACGTTAGCCCTGGGCTTCCAACAGCCTTCTAAGAGGGAACCACTGTTAACAGTTGTTTTGGGTATCTTTCCAGAAATGTTCCACAAATATACATAAAGTGTGTTTTCATTTGTGTAAATTCTTTTAAAGATCATATATTATACTTACATAAACTTACTTTACAGAATTTACACCAGTGAGCACATACTTTACATACATTCATAGTAATTATGTAATTTACATATATTTATAAATTATAAAATTGTATGTGCATAAAATTATATATAGATGAGATTTCTAACAGCACAGATAGAGCTACTGCATTTGTAGTGACTCGATGTTTGTGTGGATCTAAGAGCATAGGGCTTTTTTTTTTTTTCTTTTTTTTAAGTATTCTTTCTTCCTCTTCTTTTCCTTTCCTATATCTCTTCCAAATGAATTTACCTGAGACCCAATAGGCTAAATGGGTCAACTGGTGACACCATAGTTACTAGTGAGCCAGCTGAGTTTTCAGAGAGGTCACTAGTTAGTATTAATAACCAGCAGAAAAAAATTATATAAAGTATCTTTTCCAAAGAGCTTACCTTGGACTGCCCAAATATATGTTTTTCCCACGTGGCTCCTTCCCAAGTCAAGAGTTTTAAAGAACTACAGCGTTATAGAGAAACTGTTTCCCCTCAACACAAAATCAGAGTAGTTCAAATCCAGATGTTCCAGAACTCAACTTCAGTGGTCATTCCAGGGGATTGAAATAAAAAGCAGAAAATCTACACTATGTAGGGCAGAGACTTCCTCACAGTGAATCCAATCAAAGGCTTTTAAAAGGCTGAACTGGCATGAATGTGAATTTTCATTCTTATAAAGATGATCCAGGTTGAGTTTCTCAATACTGCAGTGAAACTCAAACTAGAGAAGAAGGTCATTCTTCCATTCAGACTCCCTTGATATGGGCCTTGAGTTGTGAGGTTTGTCCTTGGGAGATGGCTGGCAAAGGTTTGTTTATTTTGTTGCCATGGGAACAAAATGGCAGCCCCTCATTGGCTCAGAGCTCTCTCTTCTTAAAGAGAGAAAGCTGGAGTCTTTAAGATATTTTCCAAGGCCAGTGACCACCCTCAACAACAAAGAATTCACACACCTAATTCTGGTTTTGACTTTCACCATCAGCAATCAGGAAAAACAGACTTAGGATGTATTTTCAGAGGAAACAGAATTAAATAGTCCTCTTAAGCTTAATTGGCCTATGGCAATAGTTGCCAGAAAAAATCTGTAAAAGATTTTAAACACTCCTGCCATTTGCTCTAGAAACCTACAAGTCTAAAGTAGGCACTTTTTTCCTTGAATTTAATAAGGCTTTAAAATCTATAAAAATATAAAACCTTCAGGGCAAGGGGTCCTTTTCTGACACCAAGGGTTTTTAACTATTTTTCCTAAATAAAGTTGTTTTCCATTATAGAAAATAATACTCATAATAGACTACTGCCTGTAAGTTTGTCACACTGTGGAGGCCTGCATGTTGCCTGTGACGCTGCAAACCATGCCACCAGCATTTCCAATACTGGTGTCACCCATGGGGACAGACTAGAAGACAGACCTAGTGATCTACTTCCAAAAATTAGGCAAACAAAACGTCATGGGTAACGAGAGAACATTTTGTGACTTGCTTGCTTTAGCCATGTCATCAGGAGGGACCAGTCGCTGAAGGTCATCATGTTTGGTTAAGTGGGGGCCAGTGAGGGTGAGGGAGACACTCGGTAAGATGGACTGACACAAAGCCACAGCAATGGACTTGAATATGCCAGTGACTGTGAGGCTGACGCAGGACTGAGCAGTTTCTTCTGTTGTACACCAGGTGGCATGAGTTGGAATTGACAGCCCGTATCTCACTATCATCTATTCTAGTCTATTATAGACTATCTATAATAATCTATACTAAACTATAATCTAGTCTATTATAGACTAGTGACTTTCATTTTTATTTTACTGCAACTCGTTGTAAGAAATATATTTTACACATTTTAAGTAAAAAATGTTATGCAATAATACACTTAGGATTTGCTTTTCTCTTGCATTTCCTTTCCTTTTAAAAATGAAGTTGATTGCAATTCACTAAATGGATTTCATAGCCCACTGGTGGGTCATGACCAATGGTTCAAATAGAGTTATAAATTTATCCACTCATTCAACTCCTTATTTGTTTTCTACTGTCTGCCAGGCACTATTAGGTGTGTGAGACATAGCTCAACTCCTGTCCCCAATACAGCTCAGAGATGAGTAAGTTCAGTAAAGGCACAATGAGTCTTACATTAGGGAACTCACCAGCTGCAGTGGGAGTTTATAGCAGAGACTAATCTTTTAATCTAGTGGGCTGGGCAAGTTTTAGCCAAGGAATGGGCCTGACTGTTGTTGTTGTTATGTGCCCTCGAGTGGATCTGCATATTCGAAAGTCGTTCTGACTGCAACGGTAGAGAAACGACAGGAGGGGCCACAACAGGAGGCAGGGAAACTAGTGAGGGGTTCATAGCAGTGGCCCAGCAGAGACAACTGGTAGCTGCAACTCATGGAGAAATGGGGGTGGACAGTAGAGAAAGCAGTAATACTTGGTGACAGATCAGATGTCAGGGTGAAAAGGAGCAATGATGACTCCTGGGTTTCTAGCTTAAACAATTGGGTAAATGGAGCTATTTATTGAGCTGTGGAAGCCTGGGGGATAAACAAGTTCCGTGGAGCAGACTATGAGCCAGTTCTGAACATGTTCAGTTTAGTGCCAGGGAGACATCCAAGTGGTGATGTCCAGTGGAATTTATTACATGTTTCTGGAGCTCAAAAGGAGCCTGGGCTAGACAGAGAGTTGTTGTTGTTGTTGTTGTTATGTGCCGTCGAGTCGGATCCGACTCATAGCGACCCCTCCTTGGGTTAGGAATCATCAATCACTTAAAGCCAAGGAATTTTCCTCAGGAACAGTCTATATACTCTGGTACTATAGATACATAATGACTATAAATACTAAGGAGCCCTAGTGGCCTGGTGGTTAAGTGTTCTGCTTGGTTGCTAACCCTAACATCAGAGGTTTGAATCCACCAGCTGCTCCTGGGAGAAAGATGTGGCAGTCTGCTTCTGTAAAGATTGTTGTTGTGTGCTGTCGAGTCGGGTCCGACTCATAGTGGACCCCTCTTTGGTTTCCGAGGCAGTATCACTACGAAGTAGGATTGCCCAACCTTCATTCCGAGGAGTGGCTGGTGGGTTTGAACCTCCTGCCTTCTGGTTAGCAGTCAATTGCCTTAGTCACTATGCTACCAGAGCTCCCTTGAAAACCCTGTGCGGCAGGCAGTTCTACTCTTTCTACATGGTCACTATGAGTCGAAATTGACTAGATGGCAGTGGGTTTTTATTAGTAGTAGTATAGATACTGATGCTGGCATAACTCAAACTTAATAGAACAGAAGCAGACGGAAATCAGTAGCAAGCCCAAAGCCCCAAATCTTTACCCTCAACAAAAGGTTTCTCAACTTAAAACATATCTACTCCTATCATTTGTGAAAGAAAACGAGTTGGAGATGATGGGAATATCACTGATGTCCATAGAAAAATAGTACCTTCATACTTCATTTATTCCTCCAAAATGTTCATAATTCTGTTTTTATTTATTTTTATTTTTTTAAAAAAAACTCACAGCAATTGTGAAGAATGTAGACAGAATCTAAGGGCCCTTTTTTATTAGAGTCGAACGATTTTCAAATATACTTCATTTGAAGCAGTTTTTAAATAGCTAAGGGTGTCAACAGTACATTGTGGACTACAGGGAAAGTATTGCTTCATACCTCCGGAATATTCTCAAACTTAAGATCTGTGTATCAATGACTTTATACTTTATTTTTCAGTGATGTTACTCTGCTAAGGATACGTAGACACTCTGCATTATATTTCTTCTTTCTGAATATCTAAAAAAGTACAATGATCTGCTAACTTCTGAAGTCTACTACTGATTTGTTTTGTGTGTGTTGGTTTGACAAATAAAGGCTGTTTTCTGCACCCAAAACAACATAATGGAGAGACTTTGTTCAGTATTGTTTCTATCTGTGCAAAGTATTGGGACAAAAACACAGGAGACAAAAGAAAATGTAAGGACATCATGTTTATTATCTGATTTACATCTGACAAAGCAAAGGTAGATGCCAAAGAGCTATTTGACAAAATTCAAAGTTCCAAATACCAGATAATACATATTGTGGCCCTGGCCGAGGGCAGAGCTGCCCACTGCTGGCCAGCCGGGCTCTGCACAGCAGCCACTCTATGTACACTCTGCTGCTGTGTTGCCTGTGGAGCACAGGTTTGCCTGCATCTAAGATCAAAGACCAAAATCCAAACCCAACTGCCACTGAGTCAGTTCAGTGTCAAAGTGGGTCATTAAACAATAACAGCCTGATTTCCAGATGTCAATTGTCAATGTTAGTAACTACTAAGTAAATCATGTACTAGAACGGTCACAAAGAGTATCAAGCTTTGAATACTGAGAGTCCACTCCTATGAGCAGCTTCTAGCTTACTTGCCAAAGTTGTGCTGTATCAAATGAAAGACACATAGCATAAAACTTTCTAAAAAACTACTCTAACATAGGTCATTAACTTTTCCCTAAATCCCACTCCTATTTACTTATGATTTGGGGTCATTAAAATTTTTAAATTAGTTTTTATAGGTAAAACTTTCAGTTCAGAGCTCACAAAGATATTTCTCATACTATTTAATAGGATACTCAGAAATACCTGAGGTATAATCACTGAAAAACCTTTTGGAGGTGAAAAAAAAGACTGGCATTTCCTATAGTGACAAGAAAGTACATACACAGTTGATATTATGGAGAAAACGAAAACTGTCACCAGTCTCAAAGGATATACAAGTCAAGGAGGAACTTGCTGTAAAGATTCAATTTCTCTAAACATACTTTGCCGACACTTCTGTTACAAGAGAGATTTTTCTGGCTGTCCCCAAAGTGATTTTCAGGTGGAAACTTCAAAAGCAGCAAAACTCAATTTTCAAACAAGGATTTATTTCTAGAGACAAGTATGCACCAGTATTCAACGATTGTTTTTGGTGGAACATCAGCATCAACCTAATTTTCAAAAACTTAACTCTGGTTCTCTTTAATCAGATGTGTGTATTTGGCTGCTAATTTCCCCTAAACCAAACTTGTTGCCATTGAGTCAATTCCAATTCATAGCGACCCTGTAGGACAGAGCAGAATTGCCTAGAAGCAGACTAATAACATCTCTCTCCCGTGGAGCAGGTGATTGGTTCAAACTGCTGAGCTTTTGGTTAGCAGTCAGGTGCCTAACCAACTGTGCCACCAGGACTCCTTAATCTGCTCCCCCTGCCCCCATCAAAGTAATCAATGGATCATTTAAATACTGATTATAAAAAAGTATACTAATTATAATACAAAACACTAAAAAATCTAGCTTAATTTATAACTTTTTATATAATATGCGTAACTGATAATTTGACACACTACTCTCTGGTCGCACATTTTTAATTTCCTAATGCTTTTTTGGAAACTGTAAATGCCCAGGTAACAGGAAAACTAGTTTCTTAAAGAGCAAATAAAAAGCTTTAAGAATTGGCCATAGTAAGCACCCAGAATCACCTAATGAAATAAAAACTCATGCTACTAACTGAAAAGTGAATTGGAGTATTCTGCAAGTTTAAACATCAGAAACTCTATGTCATGTGAGACTCACGTTCACTTACAGAACTGCTGGAATGCTTTCTAAATAGGTATTTGTAGGCTATGCTGACCTCAGCATGAATGAGTGGAGGAAGGACTTTTTGTTTTTGAGGAACTTATCTAGAAAGATATTATCAAAAAGGTATAAAAAGGATGGAAAACAGTACTGTGACCACGGCCTGCATGTTGGTTCTTCTGCCCCTTGGGGCTCGCTCACAGCTCTCATGAGGGAAGCATCAGGGAGTGAAGCCGCAAGAGGAGGGAGGAAGGGCCTTCCCCACGCCTGGGAATAGGACCACTGGGAGCCGCATTGGTACCAGCATGACTGTCCCAGTCAACGACTTTTCAGGAAATTGCTTCTCAGTCAAGTCAGGATAAAGGAATAATACATTTGCATATTAAGCACCAAAATGATCAATATGCGCCCCCAACCCTGCTTTCAAAAACAATATAATCATGTCTTTCATATAATGGCATTTATTTCAGAATGGCCCTGACTAAAGCTGTGTCATCTGATGAGGGGCTGACCTTGATCAGCAGTGCACAAAAAACAGATCCGTTTCCTCCCAATTCATAGCCTGCGTCACACTACTGACTGCTGAAACTGAACCCCAAAGTCTCACTATGCTGTCTCATAGTTTGTAATAAAAGGAACACCAGAGAAAAAACAAATGTTTTGACTCTCCCTTTAAAAAGTTCATTCACTACTTCCACAGATGTCAAGAACAAGGCAGATGGGTTTTAATTTTACTTTATATTAAAAAAAACAAGAACAACAAAAGAAAACACATACACACAGTCTCAAAGCAAGCACCCGGGTTTTACTTCAGTTTATAATTTAATGTGCCTGAGAATTTTTGTGCAAATACATGTCATCTTTCATTAAAAATATGCATAGCACACTTTGGAAAAAATTTAATTGCAACCAACTTTCCTTACAAAAAATTTTTACATATATAAATATACAACTTCCCTAATTCCTATTGATTGCACTTCTGGTTTACCTCCTTCCAGCCTCCAAGGAAATCTGAAAGACATACAGTTATGTTCACATTCCTTGGCCACTGCACTTATCCAGAAGAAATACTCTGGAAACAAGTTTCCTTGGTTCCAATGTACCCATTATCTTCCTTCATCTTAAAAATCAACCTCCCCTAGCCCCACCCCCTACCCAGGTTGGTTTTTTTTTGTGCGTGTAGTATAAAAATACAAATTTAAAAAAACCAACAGCTAGATATCTTCATTAATTGTAAATACAAAAGGAATTTGAGTGATATTTGTGCTCCCACTGGCTCAAAGACCTGAAAACAGAGGAAAAAGGGAGTCTCCACTTCGGGTCTTATGCAAAGAGATAAAAATTCCTGGCTTTACTAATGCTGTGAACACACCACTTGACAGCTACCTAATTTAACCAGACATTATCAGGGGAAAACATATAAGCCATCTCACTACTGTCTCACTAACAGACTGAGCTCACCCCATCATCCTTCTGATTGGCTTTCTTTACACAACAGTAACAACTGCTCCTTTTCTCTCATCAAGTCTCTAAGCGGGCTTCTCCCTATTCATGCTTACCTGAAGGAAATGTGCTAGCAGGTTCAGGGTTTCAGGTAGGTTACAATATTACTGAATTTATTTTTTTATTCGCTTTTTATTTTCGAGACAAGAAAATCTAACGAAAGGAGTTTATTAACCTCTTCTTTCTTCACTGTCTCTAAACACTCACTCACGGTCCTTTCATTTATAAGTTGAATTTACCAGCCCAGGTCCATTAAGGCCTCATCTCAATTCTGATTCCATCCCTCTGCCTCCCCCTTGCCACATTCACAACCCTTCGACAACATTCCTTTACTCTCAAGTCAGACCAGATCACATGTGTCAGTGCATGGCTATCCTTCATGTGCTAATTTGTACAAGAGCTCAGTTAACGGCTGAGCCTCAGTCCTCCTTCAGGATACTCATTTTGGGTGATGATGTACAAACTGGGGTTCCAAAGCTAGCCATCATGACTGGAAGACTCTGATTCCTCCTCAGTCCACCTAATAAATTGCTACCTGAATTTAAATAAACAGCAGAGTTTGGTTTTTGAAGACCAATTTCTGCCTCTTGGTGTCTTCCATTCTCTTGGGCATCAGGGGTCTTGATCACCCTGGCAATCCCCAGTCTCTTCAGCCTGTCCACTAAATTCATCTTCAATTGGCCAATATCAGGAGGGTGCCGGGAAGGTCTCAAGCCATACATCTCCTGGAGGAATGTTTCAGCTGGGCGGGAGGCCAAAAAATTTTCAGAGACATGTGGTCGAGGTTCAAAAGGTAACGGAGAAGAACAAGGTGAGTGAGAAGGTGAATTTGGTGGAGTGGAAGGAATAGCCAGGGTTTTGGGGGGAGGCTGGAGGATAGGGGTGTCTGACACTGGGCTGTGGTATACTTTAGCAGAGATGCCTCGCTCCTGTAGAAGTTTGGCCAAGCTCATGGTGCTACTGAGGGTGACTGTAGAATCTCGTCGGTTGGTGATGGATTCACCAATACTGAGTCTGTAGGACACGGCAGGAGAATTCACCGTGGTGCTTGATGAACTGCTTCCACTACTTCCGCAGGATAATGACGGAAATGCAGAACTTCAAAGAAAAAAGAGTGAGAGAGAAAAAAAGGAAAATCAGGAAAGACAATTTAGGACTAAAAGCAATTTCCAAGTCAGCAATTAAAATAATCATAGTAGCTGTCCTTAGTAAAGACAGAGGGACTGGCACCACATTAGTATCTGTACCCTGTAGAAGAGATTTAAGGAATAAAAATTCTAACATGATACTTCAATGATTAGTTCATTATCTGTAATTTCTACTTAATTACTAACTTATTGAAACATACTTCTTTTTCAACAGAATGTGAAAAGGTTGCTGTACACTTATTTTAACATTAAAACATTCTTAAATTTGAACTCAAATGTATATCTATGGGCATGCCACTGAATTTTATGATAGAAATTTTTAAAATTTAAAGACTAAAGAAATTAATTTTTAGAAATTTTGATTAAATATATCAATTCAAAAAAGAAAAAAAGAACTACACCAAGAGACAATAAACCATGGGTAAAGAATTCAACTTTTTTGAAAATTCAACATTTCAGAATTAAACCTAAGATGTTTCCCTAAGGAGAAATTAACTTCTTAACCTTTCTATTTTCTATTTCTGAGAAATAAATATCTCTACACGTTAAATTTCCATTTTCTCAAGAAATGCTAATTCCAAACAACAGTAATAAAAAGCTACCCAGGAAATAAATTTTTCTCAACTCTGACTTAGAACATATGTTTCTGGAAAATTTAAAAAAACAGATAAAATCTTTGACAGCTTTTAGAATCTTTCTTCTCCTATGTTTAGTTAAATAAATAAATAAATAAAAGCAAAGTAAGACCTAAAATATTGAATCAGAAGGACATTACCCTTTAGGTGGTGAAAGTGAATGTGGAGTTAATGCATGACAGCCACTTTAAGGATGTGGTGATGTGGTGATGGAATGACAAGATAGTACTTTTGTGGCCAATTTCCCCCACCCTTGGGCAAATGTTATCACTATTTCATAGATAAACTTTCACTTTCAACACAGAATAGTATATCAAAATTTATAAAAACAATGAACAAAATGTAAATGCAGGATTAATAATAAATTTTCCAGAATACTAAAGTGTATAAAAGAGGCAAAATCCAAACAAGTTTGACTCAATAGTCCTTGAGTATTAAAAAATTAAAAACCTCTGATTGTGCAGTTTATATGCAGCATAGTACAGTTCATATGCATTCCTACTCTTCCACCTTTCCCATCCCCACTTTACTGCAGAACTGCCTGTCCTTTTCCAAACTGCACACTTGGTATGATGAGATTAGCCTGAACGAAGAGTCCCTTCAGGAACCAATTTTATGAAATATGCCATGTTGTTCATTGTAAGAACAATGTAGAACAATCAGATATGTCTGTTCATTACAGACTATTGAGATCTTTATTGGATATCACCTAAATGCTTCCCTAAATAACTGATCTGCTACTACTGTACAGACTCTCTGAATCATAATCTTATTTCTCTCCAAAATGGCAGCTAGAAAGTTAAGACTCAAATACATGCCTCACTTTAGCAAGTATATAAGGCTTTACGGTACAATGTATATGCTAGTTTTTCTCTCTCTTCATTTTATATCACTACTTGATTTCTCTTTTATTCATCTTTCTTCTCTACTAATTAATATTATCCTCTGTAGTATTTTACATATCATTGACAGCTACCATAGGTCCTTTTGAGAATTGGTAAGATAGAAGCAGCAGCAATATGGCTTAATAAAACCCTTGGGTGAGATTTTAGAATATTCATGTTCTAGCCACAGCTAGGTCATTTACTAGTTTCTACTCTTGGCCCTTATTTCAGTTACCTGAACTTTCTGTGCCTCAGTTTCTTCATTTATATAATACACACTTGCCTGCCAACTTCAAACAGTTATAATGGCCAAATGAGAAAATCAATGTGCAAATATTCTAAAGATAAATTATCATAGAATATTTATTAAAATTCTGGGAATTAAAATGAATGAAAATTTTTAAAAAATTGATGAAAATGTAGTTGGGGAAAGAAGTGAGACCAGGTTGCCCAGACTCTTTTACCTGGGGGTGACCTGAGTGATGTCAGAAGGATGCAATATCCTACAGGTGGTGAAGGTAAATGTCGAATTTGTGCATGACAGACACTTTCCTGGGTTTGAGGCTGCAACTTCAGTAGAGATTGGCAGAGAATAAAACACAAAATTGACAGATCAGGTTGGTAATGTAAAGAGTTCAGCATTATTTGTTAACAATATAGCGTTTATCAAGTGCCTTTTATACTAAAGATCCCCAAATCAGGCAGTAAAATATATATAAAGATAAAATAAACAAAATATACATAACAGTGCACCAGTAGCAATTTGTTAACATACAGTTCAATCCTTCAGTACTATAAAATTGTAATCAAAAGGCATAATCATAACTTACAAAAGAGATAAACATACTCTGAAAAAATATATTAAAAATAAAATCAAGATCTTGCCATCCAATGTATCCAGCCCAACTACCTAATCTGGTGGTTCTCAAAGTGTGGTTTGTAGGCCACTTGGGAAGCTACAAGGTCAAAATTACTTTTTAGAAATATTAAGTCATTACTTGACTGTTGACATGTGTACTGATGGTGCAAAAAAAGCAAAAGTGGATAAAACTACCGTGTCTTAGCACAAATCAAGGCAATGGTACAAAGTTATACAAGTATTTGTCACTGTCAAGTACTTAGAGTAAAAAAAAAAAAAAGAAAAACAAAGTCCAGATGTACCTAAGAATGGCCTTTATGAAGTAGTAAAGATATTATTTTGCTAAATCTTGACCCATGAATCTTTTCAATATTCTGCATGCTGAAATGGGAAATACGCATCACACACTACTGCTACCTATTGAGACACATTGGTTATGTACAGGAAAAGCACTTGTGCCATTGTACGCCTTGAAATTTTCTTAAATATGAAGTTGTTTTCCTACTTGAAAAACAGCCACCTGATATCTGCTACCAATACAAACTTTTGAGTTTTCAAATGAAAATCATAATTTTGAAAAACTTGTATAGACCACTAAGAGCCTGAATGCTTACCAGTACTTTTCTGATGAGATAGGTGGTGATATTAATGAATGTGGCTTTAATATACTACATAATGAAATGTGTCAATGTTTGGGAGATCTGCATAACCAATATTTTCCAAATTACTAATGCATTATGTTACAAAACCATGTGTGGATAGAAGATGAATGCACAGTACAAGGTAAACCAAGCAATTTTATGTAGCAAAGCATGACAAGTTTGTTGATAAGGTTTCAGATTTCATACTGTGACACACCTTCAAGAAACTACCACATAACAAGTTTTGGAGTAGTATCAAAGAATATCCACAAGTACCTGAAAAGACTATTAATCTTTCCTCTTCCAACTACATGTCTGTGTGAAGCTTCATTTTCTTCATACACTTCAACCAAAACAACATATTGCAATAGACTGAATATAGAAGCTGATATGAAATTCCAGCTATCTTAACAGAAAGACATAAGAGACTTGCAAAAATGTAAAATAATTTCAGTATTTAAAAAAGTCATTTTTTCATAGAACATGTTATTTGTGTATGTAAGTATTACTTTTAAATGAGTTAATATTTTTTTAAAATTCTCTATTTTGGTTTCTAATATAGTAAATATCAGTAGATATAACCTTCATAGATAGACTTACTAGAATCCTCAGTGATTTTTAAGATTGTAAAGAGATCCTGAGACAATAAGTTTGAAGACTACTGACTGTATCTCTCTGCTGAAGCTATTTATGTAGGGCTCTCTAAGGCCAAGTGGAGAAAATTTGAAAGGCCACTAATTGCTAATGAAATAGATCTTCACTATCCTTTATATCCAAGACTAAGTACATTCTAGTGTAATTTGAGCAGAGCTATAGCCAATTGACCATACAGTAAGTCAGAATGCAAAGTACTACCAGGTACTAGTCTCCAGTCAATCAAGCATTTCTTCTCACCTGTAACCAGCCCAACTGCTGAAGTAATGGGCGGAAGGAAGATCCCTGTTACTGGCTTGGACATTGAAGGGTCCTGTTCCACTTGAAGAGGTTGCTGAACCAGGAAAGTGATACCTTCCTCTTCATCCTCTTCCAAATCAGAGAGGTGAAAGACAGCATCATTCAGCAACTGCGTGAAGCCTTTAGTGATGACACCTGGTCGTGGGTCAAGAATGCTTCCCAAGTTTGGTTGTGCAAGCTGCTGCCAATGATGTAGAGTTTGTGACCCTGAGCACGCAAGACAAAAACAAAAGAGAAGGCGTGTCTTGAATTTCCCACAAATATATATATATATATATATATATATATATATTT